AACCACCAGGTCAGCCACCTGTTCACAGAGGACCTCTGAAAGCTCTGCAGACCTTCCATTTTACTGGCACCTTAAGTTCTACTCAAGGATAAATCCAGATGGCAGCAAGGCTGGCTATGCAAGTCACCAGGCTGTGGTCTCCTCAAAACCTGTCTACTGAATTCTACTTGATCGGGTCCCACCAGGGACTCAGAATAATCATGTGAGCAATAGCCATGCCGGTACATCAATTAGGAGAAGGCTGCTGAGAACACAGAGCCCACCATATCACCTCTGGAAACAAACCATCAGAAACCGTTCCTAAGACTTAAGTGCCGTGAAATGGTGACCTCTCCTGAGTCCTGAGTCAGTGCCTATGATGTAACTTATCGTGATTTTCTGGTTGCAATGGCTGTCAGAGGTAGGAGAGGCACATTGATGGTTTACGTCACCAGGAGGATCCTGCAGAGCCATACACTATATTCTAGCACCAGTCATGTATGAACTCTAGGAACAACGTGTTCCTGATCCCACTCTGTCCTGATTTTGAAGGTATAGTCTATTTCTCCCCAGAGCCCATTTTCCCCAATTTATGCTTTTTATTTAGTTGAACTGATTTTTTCAGGCTTCCACAAATCCACGAAGGACTCAAATTATCAGTAAAACAAACCAAAAGTCCACCTGGGCTTTCATCATTTTCTTCTGTAAGAAATGCTGAGTAAGAAGGATGTTAGTCTCTTCTGGATCTGCGCTAATTTGCTGTTCAGAAATCTCAGTCTTAGGACAGGGATGTCCCACGAATGGCCAAATGCAACTCCAGGAGCCTCCTGCTCATCCTTTACTGGGTCTCTCTTACTCCTGGGAATCCAGGACCTGAGGATGAAGAGCAAGTTCATTTTGGATGACACATTCGCTCTGGGCCCAGATGCTGACACTGTGGCTGTGCATCCACCTTAAGTCAAAGTCATTATTTGTAACTGTCTCTTTACTTGGTGCCCCCAAAGGCTATATAACCCGCGGAAATAAAACAACAATCTGAATGTGGGGGAGGTATGCCTTTCTTCTGTGAAGTAGAAGTAGCATGAATGATTAAGGGGAAGGTGGGAAACAAAGGTTAGTTTCTGGACGTATTTTCCCTTAAATCCACACCCATTTGTACTGGGTTGAATGGTGCCTCCCCCCCCCCCCAAAAGATATGAACCTGTGAATGTGGCTTCATGTGGAAAATGGGTCTTTGCAGCTGTAATTAAGGATCCTGAGATAAGAAAGTTGAGGAGTATCCAGATGGGCCCTAAATCCAAGTCCCCTTGTACCAGACACACAGGGAAGATGCGACCATCTAAAGACGGAGGCAGAGAGTAGAGATGTGTTGCCACAAGCCAAGGAACACCTGGAGAATCTGTTAGAAAAGGAGAAGGAAATAAATGGATGTTGGGAAGATGTGTTGGGAAAACCCAAGACCACCCCCAGGTTCAGTGATTAAGTGGGACTCACAGGCCTCAGCATATAATTTATAACCACAAAAACATACAAAGCAAAATCAGCAAAGAGAAAAAGGTCCATATGGCAGAAGCTGGAGGAAATTAGGTGCCAACTCCCAAGAGCCCTGTTTCCATGAAGTCACACAGGATACACTTACTTCCCCTAGCAACGGTTGTGATAACACATGTGAAATGTGTTAGCTTATTAGAGAAAAGTGCCCATGGCTTTTTACTGGGGGTTCACGTAGGCACCCACTGCCTAGCGCATACCAAAATCCCAGAATCCTAGAGGAGACCAGATGTTTAGGGTAAACCATATTGGGTTTTTTTTTTTAAGATTTTATTTATTTATTTGACAGAGAGCACAGGCAGGGGGAGCGGGAGAGGGAGAAGCAGGCTCCCCGCTGAGCAGGGAGCCGGATGCAGGTTCAATCCCAGGACACTGGGGTCATGCCCTGAGCGGAGGTGGACGCTTAACCAACTGAGCCACCCAGGCACCCCAGCCATATTGTGTGAAAGGACAGTTATGAACAGTGAGCCATTCAATAGAGAATGATGAGAACCCTCTCCAAATCTAAGTTCCCAGATGTCAGGCAAGGGACAACCTTGTAAGCAGGCCTTTCTTTTCTTTTTTTTTTTTAAAGATTTTTTTTATTTATTTATTTGAGACAGAGAGAATGAGAGAGAGAGAGCACATGAGAAGGGGGAGGGTCAGAGGCAGAAGCAGGCTCCCTGCTGAGCAGGTAGCCCGATGCGGGACTCGATCCAGGGACTCCAGGATCATGACCTGAGCCAAAGGCAGTCGCTTAACCAACTGAGCCACCCAGGTGCCCGTCTTTTTTTTTTTTTAAGATTGTATTTTTAAGTAATCTCCACACCCAACATGGGGCTCGAACTTATAACCCCAAGATTGAGTTGCATGCTCCACTGACTGAGCCAATCAGGTGCCCCAAGGAGATCCCTTTTACTATTTTGAACATGGCAAGGGAAAGGTGGGAAGTACTTAACCCCTATAGGTACAGTGACTTTCTTGTTGGAAAGTGGTTTGGGGTGGCAGTTCGTGAGGGACAAGGTGTGTGAAAACTCCTGATTCACTAAAATGCTTTCCCTGCTCATAGGTAAGAATGTTTGTCTTCAAAAGAGCAGTGCTCTCATCAACTTCCCAGGCTTTACATTCAGGACAATGGAGAGTTTCCAGTCATTCTTGAACGAATCCTTTGGAAATGCAGACAGTAAAACAGTAGTATTTATTTTGCTAACCATTATATCATATTGTAGATGACATTTCACCATCATCCCTCACACCCCCAAGACTTGCAAAACTCCCATGTGTAAGACTTTTGGTTCCTGGGTTTGGGATAGAAAGTCTGTCAATGTCCCTGGGATTAATCTTAGCCCTTCTTGTTTTTTTGTTTTTCCCTCTCATGCTATATTGTACTGCTTAATGTGGGGGTATACCAGCTAATCCACATTGCTTATTGAAAACATGGAGATGGATGATTTACCCCTCTTTACAAACATGGAGATGGATGATTTACCCCTCTTTACAAAGTTTTGGCTATGTGACTAGTGAGTATAAAAGACCCGTGAGTAATCTTAGGCCTTGATTTCTGTGAAACTGAGATACTTCACATATATGTTGGTGGCTTGTGATTTGGAGACAAATGGTGTTCTGTGACTGAAAAAGGTCCCTGGAATATGTACCTGCCTGTTGCAGAACACCTTGTAGCTTTTGTCTTTATTGGAGTCTCATGTTAGTTTAAGTCTGGAATCGTGTTGAGTACATTCAACCACCTTAAACTGGGTACCTGCTATCGTTGCAATTTCCCCATTTTAATGTAAACCAATGTGCTTGAAAAGGAAACCTGCTTTTGTAAAATTAAAACCAAGCTCATTGTATCTTAGGGTTTAATCCCCACTTAGGAAAAATAATTTATGAGACTTTCCAGCTACATTCTAGAGAGGGATTCATAAAAACACCTCTGAAGTTTCACTTATGCTTTTTGAAAGGGAAGCATACCTTGTACAGTAACTGTGAACAATCAATGGAGATAACTCACTACCTTCGGACCAGCCAATACCTTGTACGGTATAAGGGAAATAGAAGCCTACTTCATTTGACTATAGGAACAAGTTACAGTGTCCAATCAAGCAGTACCAGGACCAAAGCTAGTATTTAATTTCTGTCTTCTGATATCAAGGATGATCTCAAACTAGAATTCAAAAGGGTATAAAACTCATTATCTTCAAACCCTATCTGATCGGTTTAGAAGAAATAAAATTCTTTATTACAGATACTTCTACTGCATTTCATCTAACCCAAGATACCTTTGATTGTGTGATGTACCATTATTTTCTGTACTAAGTTCTCCATTTAAATCTGTCAAGTCATCAACTGTATGCTGCATTCTAACTTCATTGTTAATTATGTGTGTGGGGGGGAAATTTTAACATGGAATCGATGAAAAAACATTTTACTCAAGGAACATTCAAAATCTTCCAGGCCCATTTACGAATACCAGGAAATGGGTGGCAGGGGAGGAGATATTCAGTATTTTATTAAGATTTCTTACTAAAATAATGAACCATGTAGTTCAATTACAACTTATGAAGCACTGTAATGATATAAAGATTCAATGCAGATTATTCTTTTTTTTTTAAGATTTTATTTATTTATTTGACAGAGAGAGAGATAGTGAGAGAGGGAACAAAAGCAGGCAGAGTGGAAGAGGGAGAAGCAGGCTTCCCGCTGAGCAGGGAGCCCAATGAGGGGCTCAATCCCAGGACCCTGGGATCATGACCTGAGCCGAAGGCAGATGCTTAATGACTGAGCCACCCAGGTGCCCCTCAATGCAGATTATTCTATTGGCAAGTTTTGTGTACATTGAAGTATGTGTACAAGGGAGTCACAATTGCTATGCTAACACATGCAATTCCCAATTATGAACAATCATTTTTTTTTTAAAGATTTTATTTATTCATGAGAGAGAGAGAGGCAGAGGCAGAGGGAGAAGCAGGCTCCCCGCGGAGCAGGGAGCCCAATGCGGGACTCGATCCCAGGACCCTGGGATCATGACCTGAGCTGAAGGCAGACGCTTAACCATCTGAGCCACCCAGGCGTCCCATGAACAATCATTTTAATAAAAATAGATGTAAAACACATATTCTCACATAGTTCCGATACATTTGCTTTGTTTTCTGACAAGTGTATTTATTTACATACTTAAAATGTTCCATAATGCTGCTTATTATGTCACAATTACAGGAACTAACATCCCTCATAAAATGATACCCATAAAAGATGATACCTCAGATTCATTCAAGTATAGAATTTTTTCATCAGTGTCAATTCTCTGATACCAGTGTAGCTGGATTTCATGCCAACAATATCCTCACAATCAATACAGACACACACAGATGTTCCCTCCTATTCGTTCTCTCTGGCTACATTCAATTGACATGTATGGAGGAAGGTATTTCCTCCTGTCTGGCATTCTACACAGTACCATTCTCTTATAAGCAATGAGGTGTGAGTCTGGGGGAAAAAAAAAATGTGTCCACATCTGTAGTCTTAAGGTTTCACTCCTATGTAAACTCTAGTGTAATCAGCTATTCACTTTCAATGACAACTTCTGAATATTTACTTCATTCATGATTTCTCTCCTCTATGAGTTTTCTGATGTAAAATGAGGCTGAATTTGTGGGAGAAAGTTTTCCAACACTCACTGCATCCATAAGGTTTCTCTCCTGTGTGAGTTCTTTGATGTATAATAAGATGTGACTTCTGGACGAAAGATTTCTGACATTCACTGCATTCATGGGGTTTCTCTCCTGTATGTGTCTTCTGATGCAAAACGAGGCTAAATTTGATAGGAAAAGTTTTCCCACATTCACTGCATCCATAGGGTTTCTCTCCTGTATGGATTCTCTGATGAATAATAAGGCTAAACTTGTGGGAGAAAGTTTTCCCACACTGGAGGCATTCATAAGGTTTCTCTCCCGAGTGAATTCTCTGATGAATAAGGAGATAGGACTTCCGGCTGAAGGCTTTGTGGCATTCACTGCATTCATAAGGTTTCTCTCCAGTGTGAGACCTCTGATGAATAGTGAGGTGTGACTTTTGGGTGAAAGCTTTCTGACACTGATTGCATTCATAAGGTTTCTCACCCGTATGTGTTCTTTGGTGAAGGATGAGACTAAACTTGATGGAGAAGGTTTTTCCACATTCACTGCACCCATAGGGTTTCTCTCCTGTATGAGTTCTCCAGTGAGTATTGAGGAGTGACTTTACACTAAAGTCTTTTCCACATTCGCTGCAATGATAGGGTTTCTCTCCTGTGTGGGTTCTCTGATGTCTAATGAGCTCAGATCTCTGGATGAAGGCTTTTCCACATTCACTGCATCCATAAGGTTTTTCCCCTGTATGAGTTTTTTGATGTAAAATGAGGCTAAACTTAAGGGGGAATGTTTTCCCACATTTATCACAGCCATAGGGTTTCTCTCCCGTGTGAGATCTCTGATGAATAATGAGCTGTGACTTGTTGCTGAAGCTTTTCTCACACTCACCACATCTGTAGGGCTTCTCTCCTGTATGAGTTCTTTGATGTGAAGTGAGTTGTGACTTATCACCGAAGCTTTTTTGACATATACGACATTCAAACCGTTTCTCTCCTGTGTGAGCTCTCTGGTGTTTATTAAGGCATGACTTATCAGTAAAAGCTTTCCCACATTTATTGCATCCATAAGGTTTCACTCCTGTATGGGTTCTCTGGTGTAAAATGAGATGGGATTTCCGGCTGAAGGCTTTCTCACACCTACTGCAACCACAGGGTTTCTCTCCGGTGTGTGTTTGCTGATGCTTAATGAGGTCTAACTTCTGGGGAAAGGCTCTCTTGCAGTCACTGCAGTTACGCTGTTTCTCTCCTGTTTTAGTTTTCCGATGTTTTATAAGCTGTGACTTGTGGCTGGAAGCCTTTAAATGTTCATTATATTCATTGTATTTTTCGCCAGTATGAATTTTCTCACGTTTAGTATAAAGAAATAATTCATCATATCCATTAAATTCAACTTTGTTTCTTGCACAGCTTTTATTCTGAATAATGTACTCTACATTAGGTTTCAAATGTTTCCCAAGTATGTCAAATGTATGGGATCTTTGTGCTAAAGGGACATCAAAGTTTAGGCTTAGAGATAATATTTTTCTAAATGCATTATTTTTGTGGTGACTCTCCATAGTTTCAAGGTTGCCTTGATTTTCTTGGTGCCCGTCTGTATGACAATCAACTTGCCAGGTGTCTTCTAGAAAGGAGACCAATGAGCCACAATGACCATGAAATAGAAAGAATGGAATTCTATAGCAAAGGCCAAGCAGAAAAGAAGAAATGAGACTGGGTATACAGTGAAAGTCTGAGACATTTGTAAGTGGAAGGAGGGGAAAAAAAATGGAATAAACTACAAAATGTGGAGACAAGGGACAATTTATGAATGCTGAGTATATTAGAAAAGAAGGCTATACCCATGCATTAAGGGGATGGAGATGAAAAGGCAGGTAAACTGAGGATGCCAGGGAGAAAGATTAGGAGAACAAGTTCCAAGATGAACTAGAGTGGGATCTGATCCAAATACATAAGAGGAGGAAATGTATTCTTTTATTTTTATTTTTTTGAAAACTTTTTTTTTTTTAAGTAGGCTCCATGCTCAACATGGGGCTTGAACTCACAACCCTGAACACATTCTACCAAATGAGCCAGACAGGCACCCCCAGAAATGTATTCTTTTAAAAACCAAGCAAAAGAATCCTAATATGGAGAGATTAAAAAGTGCAGTCAAGGGGCACCTGGGTGGCTCAGTCGGTTAAGCATCCAACTCTTGATCTCAACTCAGGTCTTGATCTCAGGGTTGTGAATTCAAGCCCTGTGTTGGGTTCCACCCTGGGCATGGAGCCTACTTAAAAAAAAAAACAAGTGGAGTCAGTATTGATGTATGTGGGAACTTATGTCCCCCGTGCTGTCACATTCAGAGCTTAAAAACTTCAAGATTTCTCCAAACAATAGGTGCCTCCCTGTTTCTGACCAAATAGGAATTTACTTCCACTTATGCCACAGGGTTGGTTTTTCACTCACCTGGATGAATCTGACTCTGGATTTCTTCCTCTGTTATCCATGGTGTTCCATGTTCCAACTGGTAGAATGCATCTGCTTTGGTAACTTGATACCCTACTCAAGGAAAGTTATAGCGGATCCATGGACACAAATACTTTGGCTACAAGGCCTCTGAAAAATGGGGAAGGTTATATTGAAAGGCCTGAACAACTTGGATCTTAGCCAAATAAAGGCCTTTTACTTTGGGAGTGAAAGAAAAGCACTCTATTAGAGGCCAGAAGGTACTAAAATCTATGATGTATGAAACTCAAGTTCAAAAAAGTAAGGTACTTGTAAGGCTCCACACATTTCATCACTGAGAAAGGAAAGGAAATTGATTGCCTACATTACCCTGGGAAAGCTCTGCTTACCCACTGATACTAGGTTGCTATAATTTTCCAACATCACATCTTGATACAGGTTCTTCTGAACGGGGTCCAGTAGCTGCCACTCCTCCCACGTGAAAACCACAGCCACATCCTTGAATGACAGTGACCCCTGAAAGAGAACATTCCTATTCATTTCTAAAGGGATTATCGTTGGTTAATACTACGAAGATAAGTATAATATAGTACTTTTTCTTATGGTAAGTTATTTGACTGCTTTCTGTATAACTAGCGTTGCATTATACTTTGTAGGAAAAACTAATTTTTTATTTAGAATATCCTGTCTTTGTGCTTCCAATCATTCACTGATGTATATGTTCACTCTTCCACAAAAGAGAAATAGGACATCCTGAAATCCTTTAATCTAGGGACCATCTACAATCTATGTGAAAGCTCTTATAGTCAGACTGCACTAGATACTCCTTTTTATATAAGACTCTCTCCTACCCTGAAGGAGCATACTAGCTTGCAGAGAGAGGAATGTACGTGCACGAGAGTACAATACATTTACATAGGGCAAGAAAGAAATATATACCATGTGGGCACCAATGGGGAGGAGAAAAATTACAAAGGTTGAACTTCAGAGAGGGGAGGAGAGAGGTGAATGGAATTCAAGAAAGAAGTAACATGAATGACAGCACAATGAAAAACCAGGAGCATTTAAAACACTGCAAATAGGGCGCCTGGGTGGCTCAGTCAGTTAAGCGACTGCCTTCGGCTCAGGTCATGATCCTGGAGTCCCGGGATCGAGTCCCGCATCGGGCTCCCTGCTCGGCGGGGAGTCTGCTTCTCCCTCTGACCCTCCCCTCTCTCATGCTCTCTCTATCTCATTCTCTTTCTCAAATAAATAAATAAAATCTTAAAAAAAAAAAACACTGCAAATACATTTCTTCCTAAGTTGTGAAATCAAATGACTGAATTTAGAGCAGGTAGAGCATACTATAAGCCCTCAAAAAATTTCTCACTTACTATTTTTGTTACTTAAATGTTGATAGGTATAGACTTCCAAGGTACTGGGTTAAGTGCATTTAGTAAGTTACAGAAAAGTACATAAACTGTAACCTAAATTATGACAAGGCATATTAGGTTCTGTGTGGTAAAGGGTTGACTCAACAGGCCTGGGTTGCCCAAGCCCTGCACACTCCAAGTAAAGGCCGGTCTTCAGGAGAACCAGCCCTTGACTTGGTCCTGGGAGATAAGCTCTGAACCACTGTAATATCCAGCCCGCTACAGGTGTTTTCCCATTCCTGAGGCCTAGGCTATGCTCTATCAGTTTGAATTTTGAGGGGCTGGAGACTGAGTAGCTGAGGTCAGTCATGTATGCTGAATGCCTGTGTTGACTGACTTCCAATAAATCCTAGATACGTAGGGGCACGTGAACTTCCCTGGATGGCAACACTTCCCACCTGTTGTTATATATCATTGCTGGAAGAATTAAATGCTATTCAAGCCACTCCACTGGCGAGGACAACTGGAAGCTGGTGCCTAGTCTCTCCTGGACTCTATTCTGTGTCTTTTGCCTCTATTGATTTTAGCCTGTATGTTTTCACTATAATAATTCATAACAATAAGAGTTTTTTTTGAGTCCTTTTGAGTTCTTTTAGAGAATCATTGAACCTGAGGGTGGGCCAAGGACCCCCAACTCAAATATATACAAATTCATAGTTACATATGTAAATGCTGACAGGGGAAGTCAAAAGAATACACCTATGTTTTTTATATAGTTTATCTTGAGGATGGTGAAAAAGGATTAATGGGGAACTTAAGTGTTTAGCTCTAGAAACTTCTGTACTATTTGAAACTTTGACACTGAGAATATTTTAAGCTTTACTAATTAATTGGATTTTTAACATTTTTTATTTTTATTTTTTAATTTTTTTTGGAATATTTTTAAAATAGAAGAAATGGATTGTGAACTGAGATTATGAAGGACACATTTTAAAACTTCGCTAATAGATATAACTTGGAAATGTTTGCTAATTAATATAAATTGGGGTTCCTCAACCTCAACCCTACTGACATTTTGGGCTGGATAACTTTTTGCGGTGGAGGCCTGTGCTGTGTGTTGTAGGATGTTTAGCAGCATCCCTGGCCTCTATTTACTAGATCCTATTAGCAGTTATGGTAATAAAAAATGTCTCTGGGGCGCCTGGGTGGCTCGGATGGTTGGGCGTCTGCCTTCGGCTCAGGTCATGATCTCAGGGTCCTGGGATCGAGTCCCGCATTGGGCTCTCTGCTCCTTGGGAGCCTGCTTCTCCCTCTGCCTCTCTCTCTCTCTGTCTCTCATGAATAAATAAATAAAATCTTAAAAAAATAAAAAATAAAAAATAAATAAAATAAAATAAAAAATGTCTCTGGAGATTGTCAAATGTCCCTTGGGCAGACAAAATCATCCCAAACTGAGAACCATTGATTTAAAGAAAAAACTAAATTTTGAGGGCTGTTTGTGGAAGACCAAATAATGGTTTTAGAATCCATCCATTTTTCTTGATAATCTAGATGTTATCCCTGGATAAAGTCAGACCTCCAGGAGCCTATGGACTTGAGCTACACTGTTTTGAAACCCTGAAGCACTCTGATCTTTGAGTATGGCTTTGATATAACACCACTGGCTTTTCTGAGGATGGCTGAGAAATAACCACAGGGAAAATACCACTTTATTGGTGGTTTGCTATAGAGGGAACTGAGCACTAAACAATCTCACTAATGACCTATCAAAGACATTTCTTCCTACTTACGTGACAGGAACCATCTACTTTTCTAGAGGAGCTTTCTCCTTAAGGCAAATCGCCAACGATTTTTTATTGCTGGCCATGTGGGAGATTGTATTTCCCAAGGATCACCACAATAGTATGTCCCATTCCAAACCTTCTGCAATGTGACTTTGTCACTCTCCCATCAAGAGGTAGAGCCTGTTCCCCTCCCCTTGAATCTAGTTTGTCTTAGGGACTTCCTTGTAACAAAGACAATGCAGCAGAAGTGATGATGCATAACTTCTGAAGCTAAGGCAGAAAAGGCCATGCAGTTTCAGTCCGGTTCTCTTAGAATCTAGCATCATGCTGTGAGAAGCCCAAGCCACAAAGGGAGGCCATGCATAAATACCCCAGTCAAGAGCCTCAGCTGTCTAGTTTTTGAGTCATGTCATCCTGGAAAACAGATATAGGAATGAAAAAGCCTTCAGATGATTCCAGTCCCCAACCTTTGAGTCTTCCCAGCTGAGGTTTCAGACATCACGGTGTGGAGACAAACTGTGCAATAAAGGATTAACACAGCAATCTGGGTTGTCCACCCAGATTGGTTGGCACATGCCAAAAAAAGGTTTGGTGCTTACCTGTTCATACATAGGAAGCAACCTCTAAGTCCTAGAAATATCTTTACCTGAGAGCATTGGGCTACACCAGATAATTCATACCATCAATGTTGTTTATGGTGGGAGATTTGGGTACCATGGCAGCTTAACTTCTGAAAGGGCTGGACACTAAAGTCAGCCATTCGTGTAGTCAGAGTTGCTTATGTGTCCAACCCAAATAAAAACCCTGGAAATGAAGGCTTGAGTGAGCTTCCCTGATTAGCAGTACTCAAAATGTGCTGTTACATGTCATTGCTGGGAAAATCCAGCACTGTCTACATGACTCCACTCAGAACAAGTGGAAGCTTCTGCCTGGTGTCTCCTGGTTCAGGCCTTATGTACCTTTTTGCTTTTGCTGTAATAAACTATAATTGTGAGCATAACAATGTTTCTGAGTACTCTGAGTTCTAGCAAATCACTGAACCTGAGAGTGGTCTTGGGAACCTACAAACATGTAAGACACCACCATGGGCCCTGTCTTACTTCCTGACCCACTGAATCCATGAGAATGGATTAAAAATAAATGCATACCACCAGGTTTCAGGGTGACTTGATACGCAGCAATGGATAAGTGGGACAGGGAATACTAAAGACAAGTTTGTAGCTCGATTTTATAAACTGTTTAGAACTTTCTGGGTTATAATCTATGTTCTAACTTAAAATAACTTGTATAATGGGGCACCTGGGTGGCTGAGTCAGTTGGGCGTCTGCCTTTGGCTTGGGTCATGGTCCTGGGGTCCTGGGATTAAGCCCCACGTCAGGCTCCCTGCTCAGTGGAGAGCCTGCTTCTCCCTCTCCTCCCCGCTTATGCTCTCTCTCGCTATCTCTGTCTCTCTCAAATAAATAAATAAAATCTTTAAAGAATAATAATAATAATTTGTATAAACATACGATTTACATATTCTCAGAGCAACCTGGCTGTGAACTTGATCCTTTGTTTAACTTTTTCCCAAATTCTGACATTTATCTCTTCATGCTGTATCTGGTATAGAGTAGTCCTCATAAATATGAATAAACATATTCTTTTAATACATGTATTATTAAGCCTCCTCAAATCCACGGGAAGGCCTAATGGAAAATAAATATATAAATAAACTCACTTGGGACTTGGACATTTTCTGGAGCCCTTATATACCATCAGAAAATCTGTATCTGCTCTGTTGTTGATTCTGGGCTCTATTCAGAAGCTCTAGTTCAAGGTCTCTGGTCAAGGATGCAGTGTGGATCTTCGTATCTTCACTTCCTTCCCTCATACGAACTATTTTATCCCAGGAAGCCAGGACCTGGGGATTACAGAAACTGTAAGTGTGAGTCTAACAGATTTCTCTGAGTTGTTTGAGTCCTTATTTGTATGTGTATATGTATTTTAGATATACACAAATATATATATCTAAAATATATGTTTTCTTTAGGTGGTAGGTTAATATGATAGTCTAAAGAAAGAAAGTGGGGAGCCTGGGTGGCTCAGTCGTTAAATGTCTGCCTTCGGCTCAGGTCATGATCCCAGGGTCCTGGGATCGAGACCCGCATCGGGCTCCCTGCTCTGCGGGAAGCCTGCTTCTCCCTCTCTGACTCCCCCTGCTTGTGTTCCTTTTCTCACTGTGTCTCTCTCTGTCAAATAAATAAAATCTTTAAAAAAAAAAAAAAGAAGGAAAGAAAATAATACGTATTACCTGATGACTTATTTTTCAATAAACATAATTATTTTATAATAAAGAAATACAAACAAACCTGTCATCATGAAATTATGTAATTTTACCAAAACTACTCAAAACTAAAGCTGCACTTAGAGAAAGACCATTACTAAGAAATAGGGGGGAAAAAGTCCAGTGAGAAATTTTTAAAAACCTAAAAAATCCAGAGAAACAGGTATAAATACTTGTATACTGCTGCTAACCTGTCTTGGGTATCTACTGTGTGATCTTTAACTGTATGAGTAGTTAGCACAGTTTATTTTTTGTTTTTGTTTAACAAATGGAAAAGAGTCCCAGAGAGGTTGAGAAACTTGCTCAAGTTCACACAGTAAAGTGGCAGAATATGGATAAAAACCTTAGGTCTGCCCAAATTCAAAGTCCATATTCTTTCCTCTGAGTTAAACTTACCTGCAGGTGTTCTAACTGCTTACCTGGAAAACCTACAAGAATCAATTAGTAATTACATTAGAAATAAGAGTTCAGTAAAGAAAGGAAAGAGAAGATTAAAAAAAAAAATAGCTGCTTTTATATGTACCAGAAAATAAAAAATAAAATAACCATTGGAGACCCTCAAAGATAAGAAACGAAGCTGCCCCAAGCACTAAACTCCCCAGAAGCCACCCCATTCACTGACCACCCCCAAAGATCACTCAATCACTGATCCCTCCCCCCAAGTACACCCCAAACACCGACTTAAGCAAAGGACATCAAAAGCACTAAACTAGGGGCACCTGGGTGGCTCAGTCGGGTTAAGTGTCTGCCTTCGGCTGGAGTCATGATCCCTGGGTCCTGGGATCGAGCCCCAAGTTGGGCTCTCCGCTCAGCCGAGGAACCTGCTTCTACCTCTCCGTGTGTGTGTGTGATCTCTCTCACTTTCGCTCTCAAATAAATAATAAAATCTTAAAAAAAAAACACAACACTAAACTATCTACCAAAGATGTCTCAATCACTGAACCCCCACCCTCCCAACACCATGAATATTCCCCCCATGGACACTGGCATTAGTAAACCCTCCAAGGACGTCCTGATGAGTGACATGCTCCAAGGATTCTTCAATCACTGACCTTTTTCCAAGGATGGTCCAATTGCTGACATGCCCCTCAAGGCCGTCCTAAGTACTAATCTTCCCCAGAATTCCTTTTCAGGCACTCACCCTCAAAGACACCCCCATTCCTGACTTCCTTCACGAACACCCCAAACACCTCCCATCATTCGTCCTCAATCAGTGACCTTACCTGAAAGACGCCCCAATCACTGACCTATCCCAAGCGCATCCAAATCACTGACCCACTGTCTAAGTAACGCCAATCACTGATTTGCCTCCAAGATCGCCCCAGTCGGGGCGCCTGGGTGGCTCAGTTGGTTAAGCGACTGCCTTCGGCTCAGGTCATGATCCTGGAGTCCCGGGATCGAGTCCCACATCGGGCTCCCTGCTCGGCGGGGGGGGGGTCTGCTTCTCCCGCTGACCCTGCCCCCTCTCATGCTCTCTCTCTATCTCATTCTCTCTCAAATAAATAAATAAAATCTTTATTAAAAAAAAAAAAGATGGGGCGCCTGGGTGGCTCAGTCGGTTGAGCGACTGCCTTCGGCTCAGGTCATGATCCCAGAGTCCCGGGATCGAGTCCCCCATCGGGCTCCCCGCTCGGCGGGGAGTCTGCTTCTCCCGCTGACCCTGCCCCCTCTCATGCTCTCTCTCTATCTCATTCTCTCTCAAATAAATAAATAAAATCTTTATTAAAAAAGAAAAAGAAAGATGGGGCGCCTGGGTGGCTCAGTCGGTTAAGCGACTGCCTTCGGCTCAGGTCATGATCCCGGAGTCCTGGGATCGAGTCCCGCATCGGGCTCCCTGCTCGGCGGGGAGTCTGCTTCTCCCGCTGACCCTGCCCCCTCTCATGCTCTCTCTATCTCATTCTCTCTCAAATAAATGAATAAAATCTAAAAAAAAAAAAGAGAGAGAGCGCCCCAGTCACTGACCCCCCCTACAAAGCAATACCCCAAACTCTTCACACCTTTCTCCAGGCCACTCCAATCCCGGACCCTCCCCAGGCCTGCACCATTTCCTACTACCCCGCTCCCTCAAATCATAGAATGCACCTCCCACCCCACAACGGCTGGTTTCTCTCACGGACAACCCAAACCTCCCCTACCATTAACTCCAAATCTCCACAAACCTCGCTCAACCTTATTCCGCTCCCAGAACGCGAAACTGAGACCCCTTAATAGAGCCTTCGCGCCCCAGTTGGGTGGGTGGCAAGGGCCACGGCCCATCGCTTCGGCTTCAGACGCGACTGCTCCACCTCACAGAGTCAAGTTTAACGTCTGTGGCATCCGAGACTACAGGCTGCCAAACCACCACCCCGGGGGCGTCCTTCCACTGACGAAGGCTCCGCTCAGCTTTCGGTCTCTTAGACAAAGACGTTGTGAGAGAGTATGGCGGCGCCCTGTTGGCCAATGCATGTGGGAGCCGCCATATTGGAAGACCGGTCGTACAGCTCATTTTTCTGCCCGAGAGAAGAGTACTAGTCCGCCTTACGTCAGTTGTGAGCGCCACAAAGGGCAATGCGCATGCTCCCGTCCCTATGGCTTCCGAAGGCGCCCCAAGCCCAAAGGCCGTCGCGTCCGCTTTGCGGGCTGGTGCGTGCCCAGCAGCAAAACGTTACGGCGGCGCGGCCATCTTGAAATAGGTGCACTTGTCCGTACAGGAAAGGGGCGTGTCCTTTACGGAGTGGAAACCATTGGAGCAACCTTAGGAGGTGCTAATAGAGAACGGTAGAGGGTTTCGAGAAGCCAGAGAAGTACGACGAAGGCAGTAGGCCTCATTGTGGGCACAGAGTAAACTAATTCAGTTTAAGGAAAAGATCTCTTCTTGCCAGGACTGGTGGTGGTGGTTAGGTGACATCTCCAGGGTGAAAGGTGAGAGGGCTCGTGGGTAAGTAGAGCTAGTGGTGAGGGAGGGGCTGTGCTCATCACCAAGGCAGAGGGTGGAGAAATGCGGGGGATAGAAGACTAGAAATTGTTGGTAGAAATTTCTTTTTTTTTTTTTAAGATTTTATTTATTTATTTGAGAGAGAGAGAATGAGAGACAGAGAGCATGAGAGGGAGAAGGGTCAGAGGGAGAAGCAGACTCCCTGCCGAGCAGGGAGCCCGATGTGGGACTCGATCCCGGGACTCCAGGATCATGACCTGAGCCGAAGGCAGTCGCTTAACCGACTGAGCCACCCAGGCGCCCTGCTGGTAGAAATTTCTTAAAAGGTTTTTATCTCAACTCAAATGTTTTCACATATAATTTCTAGTGAAGTAATTATTAAAATTGGAATTGAGTCAAAGAGAATGAACAATATTTGTTGGGTAGATAATAATAGATTGTTGTCCCAAACCAGATCTACTGATGAATACATTTCACTGGCTGCTATCCTTCTTCAAAAACTGGATCCCAGGAAGAGGGTAGCTGGGTGGTGCAGTTGGTTAATCATCTCCTTTTCAGCTCAGGTCACTGAGCCCCCCGGGGCGAAGGCTCCCAGCTCTGCGGGGAAACCTGCTTTCCCTCTCCCTCTGCCCACCCAACCCCCGCTTGTACTCCCGTGCTTGCTCTCTCTCTCTCGAATAAATAAATAAAATCTTTTTTAGAAAAGAACTTGATACTAAAACAAATAGCTAATTTATATTAAGTGTATACACATTTTTTTGAACAGGGAACTAGTTCAGGTGTAGTAATTACATTATCTTACTTAGCACTCTGAAAGCTGATGTGGAAATATTGTCATTTGGAGCAAACAGCCAATTCTTTTTTTTTTTTTTTAAGATTTTATTTATTTATTTGAGACAGAATGAGAGACAGAGAGCATGAGAGGGGGGAGGGTCAGACGGAGAAGCAGACTCCCCGCCGAGCAGGGAGACCGATGCGGGACTCGATCCCGGGACTCCAGGATCATGACCTGAGCCGAAGGCAGTCGCTTAACCAACTGAGCCACCCAGGCGCCCAAACAGCCAATTCTTGAAACATCTTCAGTGTAAATAAGTGGTTTTATTAAAGCATGGGGACAGGACCTGTGGGCAGAAAGAGCTGCACCAGGATTGTGAGGAGCAATTGATTATATACACTCAGTTTGGAAGAGGGTTAGGGATAGCATAAGTCTTTAAGGAATTTTGGAAGCAAGGTTTCCAGGACTTTGAGGGGGCTAGCTATTGTTAGGAAAAGGTCATTTATTACTGTCTAATAAAACCTTAGTCATGATGATGTGGGAAACAAAGGCAGAAGAAAAATTATTAAATTTCCTTACTACTTGCAGCCCTTTGGCAAGCCCTTGAGGTGGGCAGTTACATTCCTGTAGGGACTCAACTGCCTGGATGTTGACACTTTACTAAGGGCAAGAGGCAATCTTAGCCCGACCTCCAGGATCCTGTAAATCTACTTTAACATATAAAAATTCCTTTGGAAACTTCCTTTATCTCTATCCTCCCCCCCATGATACATGGTGGCAATCATCCCTGAAGTATATGACCCACTGATAGACATTTGAAGAGTCTCACCGAGTAAGAGACAGGCGGGGGTACGTAGGAAGAGATAGGTAGGGGGCTAGGTGATCAGGCTCACAGGAATCCCAGAAATGCTGAGGTGTAATGAAACCAGATATAAGGGAACAAACCAGACCACCCTGCCCTGGGCGTCAGAGGTGGGGTCTTTTTATGATAGTCACATAGTGACCAACAAAGAATAACCAGACCCCAAAGAAGAAATAAACCATTAAAGATGTTATCATTAATCCTCACTTAAACCAAGACATTACAAGAATGATAAGGCCACAAGCTCCCTGGTTAGTTCTAAATAAAAGACTGTTGGTGGAGGCCCACGTTGGCAACCCTGTCAGAACCCCCTTACTCCTGAGAGCTTTTCCTGTATCCTTGCTTAATAAAACTCTTATCACTTTACTTACTCTCCTTTATCCGTGAGATTCATTCTTCAACCCTTTGAGACAAGAACTTCACTCTCCCACTTCAATGACCCTTCAGATGTACATCAGTGGGCCATATACTTGGTGGATGATTGCTAACATATATCTTGATGGGTGGAGATAAAGGAAGTTTCCAAAGGAATTTTTATAAGTTAAAGGAGACTTATAAGATCCTGGAAGTTGGGATAATGTTAAGCTAGGACTGCCTTTTGCCCTTAGCAAAATATTAACATTGAGGCAGTTGAGTTCCTAGAGGAAGGTCACTCTGCCTCTCTCAAAGACTTGTCAATGGATGTAAGATTTAAGGAAATTTTATTTTTTTCTCTTGCCTTTGTTCCCCACATCAAAAGCTATTGATGGTGAAACTAAATATTACCCTCACTTCACACATGGGGGGGAAAAAAGGCCAAGTCTATCAGAATGCCTATTTCCTCAATATCTCATCAATCTTTTAATCTTTGCCCATCTTAAGGGTGAATAAAAATCTTATTTCAGGGGCACCTGGGTGGCACGGTTGGACATCCAACTCTTGGTTTCATTCAGGTTGTGATCTCAGGGTTGGGAGATCGAGCCCTGCGTCAGGTCCCACGCTCATGTGGATTCTGCTTGAGACACTCTCTCCCTCTCCCTCTGACCCTGCCCCCTCTCAAATAAATAAATCTTTTGGGTTTTTTTTAAAGCTTTTATTTATTTATTTGACAGAGAGAGCGAGAGCGCACAAACATGGGGAGCGGCAGGCAGAGGTAGAGGTAGAAGCAGGCTCAATCCTGCGGGGCTCAATCCCAGGACCCTGGGATCATAACCCAAGCTGAAGGCAGATGCTCAATGGACTAAGCCACCCAGGCGCCCCTGAAATAAATAAATCTTTTTAAAAAATCTTATTTCAGTTTTTCTTTAATTTTATAAGCTGCTTGTTTACCTTGTGTGTATTTATAACTATTATTCTACCCCCATTCTCCTATATTGACACACAGCCTAGTTTGGGGCTATTATGAATAAAGGTGCTATGAATTTTCTTGTGTAAGTCTTCCTAAGGACATGTCATTGTTTTTGAGTAAATATCTAGGAGTGGAATTGCTGCCTCATGTGGTTCTCAGTTTTAATTAATTTATTTAAGTAATCTCTACACCCAACATGGGGATTGAACACACAACCTAGAGATCAGGAGTCGCATGCTCTTCTGACTGAGCCAGTCAGGTGCCCCATGATTCTGCATTATTTTGCAATTCTCTTTAAGCTTGAGTTAGTTTTGAAAGGGTTTTTATTCTTTTAAAGATTTTGATAGTTTAAGTAATATGGATATACTAACAGTGGGTTTTTAATTTGGGGGCTTTATCCATAGATTTATCATAAAGGAAACTTCAGAATAACTCTTCCTGCAAATACAGTTTTCTGCACATAGGGATTTACTTTTCCTCATTCTTCCAGGAGTTATATGTTAATTTTGGTTGGATTAGATTTGGTGTTTACATTATGATGACTATGTAAATACTATTTATAGCTCAGCCATGTAGTGTACTAGGATTATTTTTCCTTTCTTGTACAACTTTTAAATTCTCCCTGGAGTTGTTTTATTTATTCCTTCCAGAAATTCTGGCCCTTGGTTCTCAGACAGCCCCGCCCTTGGCACGGGCTCCACGTGGGAGCCACCTGGACATTGGCTTGGGACTGCTCTCCTCACCTTCCTGGGCCGTAACTGTGTCTCCCCACAGGGAGAGCTTGGTTTCTCCCAGTCGCTGTTTTTCCACTTCCATGGATGGCATCATCACGCTCCCTGTACCGTGAGTGCTTCTCCAGACACTCTTTTGTCCTCAAAAATCTTCCTCTCAGCCTCCATATCCAGTCAGAAGCGTTCCCAGGGTATTTGTCCTTTGGCCTTTATGTTTGCTCTTTTTAGTCCGTTGAAAGATTTTTTATTTTTGTACGGATACCTAACTTTTTTTTAAGATTTTATTTATTTGACAGGGGCGCCTGGGTGGCTCAGTCCTTGAGCGTCTGCCTTCGGCTCAGGTCATGATCCCGGGGTCGTGGGATCGAGCCCCGCATCGGGCTCCCTGCTCAGCGGGAAGCCTGCTTCTCCCTCTCCCACTCCCCCTGCTTGTGTTCCCTCTCTCACTGTGTCTCTCTGTCAAATAAATAAATAAAATCTTATAAAAAAATTAAAAGAATTGGGGTGCCTCAGTCGTTAAGTGTCTGCCTTCGGCTCAGGTCATGATCCCAGGCTCCTGGGATCGAGCCCCACATGGGGCTCCCTGCTCAGCTGGAAGCCTGTTTCTCCCTCTCCCACTCCCCCTGCTTGTGTTCCTGATCTCGCTCGCTCTGTCAAATCAATAAATTTTAAAAAAAGATTTTATTTATTTGACAGAAAGGGACACAGCGAGAGAGGGGACACAAGCAGGGGCAGAGGGAGAACCAGACTCCCCACTAAGCAGGGAGCCCGATGCGGGGCTCGATCCCAGGACCCTGGAATCACGACCTGAGCGGAAGGTAGACGCTTAACGACTGAGCCACGCGGACGCCGGGATGCCTAACTTCTAAGATGGCTTCGCCCTGTGTGTTTTCCGAATCCTTCTTCGTGCAAAGTGGATTACTTTTCTCGCCAACCCGCTGAGGTGGACAACCCTACCCCATGTTTGACTTGTGTAAGTTCGAGCTTCTGAAAATCAGTGCCGTTTGCAGCGCAGGATTTAAGGTGAGAGAAATGGGATTATTTTGGGTAGGTTTTCACTGTACGGAGCCTCCCCTGGCTCTTCTGACCAAAACGGCCACTTCGCCTTCCGTACGTCGAGTACTGAAGGATGGCCGCCTCGGGGACCCGTAGCCAGATGGGCGCAGACATATTGACTCCGCGAAAAGCCGGAAGTCCAGACGGCCTGGCTCCGCAGAAACGCGTCTGGTCCTCCTCGGCCGCCGTCGCGGAGGCCGGGCATGGGCGCGGCAGGAGGAGTATTCGCGGAAACGCTGCTTGGAGGAGGTCGCGGTGGGGTCACTAGAAAAGCAGGTCTGTGTACGGTTCGGCTTGTGGAGCGGGATGAGGGGACCAAGGTGTCTGTGGGTTCCCGGGTGGGTGGAGGAGTGGGGTCCGTTGGGGAGAGGAAGCAAGTGGGAGCCCGCGACGGGGTGTCTGTGGGTGCGGTGGCTTTGGAGTCGGTCCTGAAGGGTTGTGGGGGTCAGTGGTTACAGGTGTGTGGAGATGAACGTTTCCGAGTCCGTGGTCAGGGTTTGGTTTGTCTGTAGCGCCCGGTGATTGGAGACGAGGGAGCGGGTGGTTTTTATCAGGGAAAAGTGTCGTCCACTTCGGATTCGGGTTTTACCCTGCGGCTCCGTGACGGGCTGGGGCGCACGGCCAGCGAACCCTGGTGTTTCGGGATTATTTCGGGGGTGGGGGAGGTCCAGGTGTGTCGGCTCTTGAGCGGTTTGTGGCGGCTGAAGTCGATTGCTGGGTGGGTTGCGGTTCCACGGTTTCTTTCCCTCCAATCCAAGCCCCTAGTTTGCCTTTGGCTTCACCCATCTCCTCTCGACCCCATAGTTATGAGAGCTTGGTTGGAGATGGAGGATTAAAGGCAACCCAAGTGGTTTCTACTAAAGATGAGGATTTTGGGGCGCCTGGGTGGCTCAGTCGGTTAAGCGGCTGCCTTCGGCTCAGGTCATGATCCTGGAGTCCCGGGATCGAGTCCCGCATCGGGCTCCCTGCTCGGCGGGGAGTCTGCTTCTCCCTCTGACCCTCCCCCCTCTCATGTGCTCTCGCATTCTCTCTCTCTCAAATAAATAAAATCTTAAAAAAAAAAAAAAAGAAATTAGTAATAGGGGCGCCTGGGTGGCTCAGTTGGTTGAGCGACTGCCTTCGGCTCAGGTCATGATCCTGGAGTCCCGGGATCGAGTCCCGCATCGGGCTCCCTGCTTGGCGGGGAGTCTGCTTCTCCCTCTGACCCTCCCCCTTCTCATGTGCTCTCTCTCACTCTCTCTCTCTCAAATAAATAAAATCTTAAAAAAAAAAAAAAAAGTGAGAAGACGGGGGTGCCTGGGTGGCTCAGTTGGTTAAGCGACTGCCTTCGGCTCAGGTCATGATCCTGGAGTCCCGGGATCGAGTCCCATGTCGGGCTGCCTGCTCGGCAGGGGGTCTGCTTCTCCCTCTGACCCTCTTCCCTCTCCTGCTCTCACTCTCTCTCTCTCAAATAAATAAATAAAATCTTTAAGAAAATAAAAAATAAAAAAAAAATAAAGTAGATCAAACAATAGGAGGATGAATATTTGAAGATATAAAAGTAAAACCCAGAAGAACTAAGAAAAACAGCAAAATCAAATAAAATTGGGTATGGAGGGGATAAGAGGAAGTGGAAAGATTCTAATTTTGTCATTGCTCACAGTGAAGAACACACACACACACACACACACACACACACACCAATGCAAACAAAACACAGACCATATTGTGAAATATAATTTCAAAAGAAGCAATAAAAACAGCATAACATTAAAATGCTGATAAACTAAGGTCAAGGGGCGCCTGGGTGGCTCAGCTGTTAAGCGTCTGCCTTCGGCTCAGGTCATGATCCCAGGGTCCTGGGATCGGGTCCCACATCGGGCTCCCTGCTCCTTGGGAGCCTGCTTCTCCCTCTGCCTCTCTCTCTCTGTCTCTCATGAATAAATAAATAAAATCTTTAAAAACAAAAACAAAACAAAACCAGAAGACCTATTGGGGCACCTGGGTGGCTCAGTTGGTTGAGCGACTGCCTTCGGCTCAGGCCATGATCCTGGAGTCCCAGGATCGAGTCCCGCATCGGGCTCCCTGCTCGGCGGGGAGTCTGCTTCTCCCTCCGACCCTCCGCCCTCTCATGCTCTCTGTCTCTCATTCTCTCGGTCTCAAATAAATAAATAAAATCTTAAAAAAAAAAAAAAGATGAGGATTTTGCCCTTTCTGCAGGTTCTCTGTGTGTAAGCATACGCACACACACTTGGAAAAGTTTCTTTCCGGTGCCATTGTAACACAAGTAAACTAACATTGCTGTTACCCCAGTTCTGTTCCCCAGTGTTAGTATCTGTTAACTTTTTTCATTTATTTCCTCTTCAGTCTTTATTTTTCTATGGTTCACAGTTCCAATAACCTGCTGAAACACTGGCATAATTTGCCTCAGTATTTAGTTTCATGTCATAAATACTATATAATAAACGTAAGTTTTTTCTTTAAAAAAATTTTTTTTAAACTAATGTAGCAGTATATACCGACAGGAGGCAAATTTGTGCCATTGTCACTGGAATCACTTAATCTCTGCATTCATTTAGGTACAATTTAAAGATGTTTATGTTTAAGTAATCTCTACACCCAAGGTGGGGCTCAAACTCGTAACCCTGAGATCAAGAGTTCCATGCTCCATCGACTTAAGCCAGCCAGGTGCCCCTACATAGAATTTAAATACTTAAATATTCAGTAATCACTTTTGAAAGTAGATTATGATTCTCCATTTACCCGTGCATGTGGTTTCCTGTTCCTCCTGCCCACCTTGATCTTTAATTTTTTGCCATTGTGAAGTGTTTAACTTTTTGTTCTCTTTCAATTTACTATCTCTTAGAAGAGCAATTACATTAAAAATACTTATTTTATTTCTGCTTACTTCACTGAATTTTTAGTATTATGAACTTCCCATTCCCTCTGATTTTTATTAGAAAGTTCATAGTTTTTTTTGTTTTGCTTTGTTTTGTTTTTAAGATTTTATTTGACAGAGAGACACAATGAGAGAGGGAATACAAGCAGGGAGAGTGAGAGAGGGAGGAGCAGGCTTCCCACTGAGCAGGGAGCCCGACATGGGCTCGATCCCAGGACCCTGGGATCATGACCTGAGCCGAAGGCAGACGCTTAACAACTGAGCCACCCAGGCGCCCCTAGAACGTTCCTAGTTTAAAGAATTTTACATTTGAACACCTCTTATGCCTACCACCTAGATTTTGTCATTGTGATTTTGTTTCTTTTATCCCGTATCTCTCCATATATCACTTCTCAATCATTAATCTACATTTTTTAACGTGTATTTCAAAGTAAGTAGCAGACATTTATATATTTTTCCCTAAATGTTTCAGCAAGCATATAATTAGAGTTCTGCCTGTAGCAACTACTAATCTTTCTGTCTTTATAGATTTGCCTGTCCTGGACATTTCGTGTAAATGATGCAAATGCAGTCATATGCTATGTGCACTTTTGTGATTGGTTTCTTTCACTTAATGTAAGAGGCTTATCCATGTGGTAACATGTATGTGTACTTCATTCCTTTTTTATACCTGAATAATATCCCATTGTGTGGATATAACACATTTTGTTTATCCTTTCATCAGCTGAAGAATATTTGGGTTGTTTCCACATTTTGGCTATTATAAATAATGCTCCTGGGGCACCTGGGTAGCTCAGTCGGTTAAGCATCAGCCTTCGGCTCAGGTCATGATCCGGGGGTCCTGGGATCAAGCCTCCTGTAGGGCTCTCTGCTCGGTGAGGAGTTGGCTTCTCCCTCTCCCTCTGCCTGTCTGCCTGCTTGTGCTCTCTCTCTCTCTGTCAGATAAATAAAATATTTTAAAAATAAATAAATAGGGCGCCTGGGTGGCTCAGTTGGCTAAGCGACTGCCTTCGGCTCAGGTCATGATCCTGGAGTCCCGGGATCAAGTCCCACATCGGGCTTCCTGCTCAACAGGGAGTCTGCTTCTCCTTCTGACCCTCCCCCCTCTCATGAGCTCTCTCTCTCTCAAATAAATAAATAAAATCTTAAAAAAAAAATGAATAAATCTCCTTAAACATTTGTGTACGAACTTAAAAGAAAATTCCATTGTAATTAACATAGTGTTAATTAATTTGTACAATATAGTAATTCAACAATTCCATATATTACTCAGTGCTCATCAAGATAAGTGTACTCTTAATCCCCTTCATCTATTTCACCAGTTCCCCCTCTGGTAGCCATCATTTTGTTCTCAATAGTTAAGAGTCTGTTTTTTGGTTTGTTTCTCTCTCTTTTAAGTTTATTTATTTATTTAAGTAATTTCTGCACCCAACATGGGGCTTGAATTCATGACCCAAATATCAAGAGTTGCAAGTTTTTTCGACTGAGTCAGCCAGGTGCCCCAGTTTGTCTCTTTTTTTTTTGTTCATTGTTTTGTTTCTTAAATTCCATATATGAATGAAATCATATGGTATTTGTCTTTCTCTGACTGGCTTATTTCACTTAGCATTATACTCTGTGGATCCATCCATATTGTTGCAAACGGCAAGATTTCATTCTTTTTTTATGGCTGAATAATATTCCATTATATATATAATATACATGTTATATATATAATATATACCATAAAATAGTAACATATACTAATAATATTCCATTATATATTATATATATTATGTATATAATACATACATATTATATATAGTTATAATAAATATATGTGTTGTTATATATATATACATGCACACACACATATATATACACACCACATTTTCTTTATCCATTCATCTGTCAATGGACATTTAGTTTGCTTCCATAATCTGGCTATTGTAAATAATGCTGCAGTAAACCTAGGGGTGCATATATCCCTTTGAATTAGTGTTTTCATATTCTTTGGGTAAGTACCCAGTCGTGCAGTTCCCGGGTCATAAGGTTGTTCTATTTTAGTCTTTTAAGGAATCTCCGTAATGTCTTCCATGGTGGCTACACCAGTTTGCGTTCCCACCAGCAATGGATGAGGGTTCCTATTTTTTGACATCCTCGCCAATACTTGTTTCTTGTGAATTTGATTTTTATTATCCTGTTTTGTGTGTCTTTTTAAGATTTTATTTATTTATTTAGTACACGTGAGGGGGGAGAGGCAGAGCGAGAGGGAGAGAGAATCTCAAGCAAATTGCATGCTGAATGCAGAGCCTGACTTGGGGCTTGGTCCCACGGCCCTGAGATCATGACCTGAGCCGAAATCAAGTCAGTTGCTTAACGAACTAAGCCACCCAGGCGCCCCCACCTTACATTGTTTTTGAGAGTCACCCATTGCTTTTCCATCTTGTGTGAGGTCCACATCAGAGGGATGAGCGCACTGCATTAGTCCTTCAGGTAGGCCTCACACAGGTTGGAACAGTTAAACACAATTCTTTGCAAATACAGTCTTCCCTACTCATTCCAGGACCAGGAACCAGAGTCCCCCACTGGGAATGCTGGCTCCCATCTCTAGGACTACTACCAAACTGGGGAGGGAGTGAAGCAGGGGCAAATAAAAGTGGCACAGAGCTTTCCTACCATTTTTAAGTTGCTTCTTTCTTGATTGAGCAATCACTCTGCTGCTATAAACCTGTGACTGTTTTTCAGAGTTACGAGAAAGGTTTTGTTTTGTTCTTTATTCTGACAGTTCTTACTTGTTTCAATGTTTCTGTGGAGGTACAGGCCTTGGAACTTCCCACTCTGCCATTTTCATTCAGTGGGATTTTCGTCCATGATGTACATGATTATGATTAATTTTGTTTTGTCATTTTGGTCATTAGTACTTTTTTAAAGAAATAAACTGACTGTAAATGCAACTTAGGTGATGGCCTCTAATCCACCCCCTCCCTCCCCAAACATAATGGCTTTCTTGAACTTGTTCTATATAATGCATGTTTTTATACTTTCACTCAATGTGTATGTAGCCAGAAAGAATAGTCTTGTTCTATATGCTTTAACTTTTTTCTCTTGATTTGCCTTTTGTTTCCTTTCACAGGATGATTAGTGAAAATGGTTTGTTAGGTAATTCTTTGCTGAGCATGTTTGTCTTCAAACTGAGGTGTGTACAAAAACTTGTACATGAGCACACTTGGTCTTAAAGGAATAGATGTCCAAATCCTCACCTTTTACATGTTCTCCTTCTAAAAACTGTGTGAGAAGCCACTCTGCTGTGGGGCGTCATGCTGTGCTGGTTCTCCTCTCCTTTCACAGACTCCACTTCCATTTCATAGAAGAAAATGCTCACATACTCACAATCTGCTGTTTCATTGCTCCAGAGTGCAGTAGCCTCTGGGATTTCAAATAAAGGGACAGATGGCCTTGAAATCCAGGGAGGGGCAGTAGCAGGGATAACATCCTGGTCCAGAGGAAATGTGTACTCAAAGTGAATTTACTTTTCAGCCCACAGGTCCTACTCTAGGAGCAAGATCCAACAAGTAAAGCAAGAAGGTCTCAGGACCAGTGTGTGGTCATTTGTGGGGACACCATTGAGCAGAGACCAAGATTTCAGGAATTGAGGGGAATTCAAGAAGAAACTAAACACACAAGTCCCTTTTACTGGGTGTTTCCAGTCACAGAAGAAAATGATTAAGGACCAGGTGACTTAGTTTTATTCTTTTACTTCATTCTGTGATTGATCTGGAGGACTTTAAAACTCAATTGAGGGCGCCTGGGTGGCTCAGTTGGTTAAGCGACTGCCTTCGGCTCAGGTCATGATCCTGGGGTCCCGGGATCGAGTCCCGCATCGGGCTCCTTGCTCGGCAGGGAGCCTGCTTCTCCCTCTGACCCTCCTCCCTCTCATGTGCTCTCTCTCTCTCTCATTCTCTCTGTCTCAAATAAATAAATAAAATCTTTAAAAAAATAAAAAAAAAACCTCAATCGAATTAAATGGAAAAGTATAAATTGGTAAAGTAGGACTTGTGCAGAAATAGATTTAGATTCCAACTTCAGTATCAAGGCAAATAGGATCAGGAATATATTGTTCATAGGATCCACACTAAATGACTAATGTTAGAACATCACAGGTGACTGGAGCATCCTACAGGCTGTGCTAGCTGTCAGCTTATGTCTGATACCTCTGGCGGCCATCACAATTAGAGAGTCATGATGATCACAGGATATGCAGTCATGGAGGAGAAAGCAGTCTGGTTCCACAAGGCTGTCACTCTATATTTCATGGCACTTGGGTGTCAGGACTTTTGTTTAATGGTGCTTCCTAGACATGATAATGGTAGACAGTGTCTTGTGCTTAGCTTCAGCTTTCTCCTCAGTGCAAAAGAAGGTTTCTCGAAGAGCTCTTTGAGAATAGACCAAGAGAACTCAGTGGGCACAGTTCTTCCTGGCATCATAACGGTGACCCATGGACCCAGCCTTGTAGCTGTCAGGGCTAATCTAGAAATAAAACCTAGGCGACCTAAGAAAATGGAAGGGTTGAAGGTTGAAAATGACTTTCAAAGGTCCTGTATGAACAAGTGGCTAAATTGGGTGTTTGAGTTCAGATACAGCAGTAGGGGATTGAAGGTACTGTCGTCTGTCAAGGTTGTTGGGATCCAGAGGGTTTGCTTTTGAACTTCCTCTTATGTAAGATAGTACATGCTTCTTGTTCATGTTCAAAGCCAATTCCTACTGCCTCCTTTTAAAATTTAATCCTGTAAAAGTCCCTGAATATATTTTAAAGATAAAAAAAATTCCAATGATTACGAAGTCCTATAGCAAAAGTAAGGTGCTTTTTCATGTATGTAGAGCTAATGCTTCAAATACATATATTGGAAATGTTTTTAGTTTAGCAGGAGAATTTAATGGCTACTTACTACAGAAACTAGTGATTTGTTGAATGCTACTGCATGATCACAGAGTATTTTGTTATATATAGGATAGAATGTGGATGTATTTTTGCTTCTATAACAATGTAGTTAAAAAAAAAATCAAGACACCTGGGGTGCCTGGAGCTCAGTCGGTTATGGCCGACTCTTGATTTTGGCTCAGGTCATGATCTCGGGGTCCTGGGATTGAGCCCTTTGTAGGGCTCTGCATTCAGCAGGGAGTCTGCTCGAGATTCTCTCCCTCTCCCTCTGCCCCCCGCTTGCATGCTCTCTCTCCCTCTAAAATAAATAGGTTAATCTTTAACAAACAATCAAAACACCTGTGCGGTGAACATGAGCACAGCAACTTCCTTTATATTCCTTCCATTTCAATAACTAGAGGAACACTCACATGACACAGGACCGTGTTGTTACAGGAATCGCTGACACTGGAGGACGTGGCCGTGGACTTCACCTGGGAGGAGTGGCAGCTCCTCGCCCCCACCCAGAAGGACCTGTACCGGGACGTGATGTTGGAGAATTATAGGAACCTGGTGTCAGTGGGTGAGGACCGCTCCCCTGTGTCACTCAGAGGGACCCATCAGTGGCCTTTCCTCTCGCAGCTTCCGAGATCTCTGGCATGTGTGTGCCTCTCAGAAGTGTAGGTTCTCAGTCCCCTCTCTGGCCCCAGATTCGAGGGTATAATGGGCCCGTCCTGAGAGAAGACCTTTAGCTTTGCCGATCTGCAAATTGCTTGGCTCCTAAAATATAATATTGCTCTGTGTTGGCAGACCCCAGCCCAGTTCATAGAGCCTACCTCTTCTGTCATTTCCCACGCACAGGGTACATGGCCAGCAAGCCAGATGCACTCTCCAGATTGGAACAAGGGGAACTGTGGACGACAGAACATGAGATCCCCAGTCGAATCCGTCCAGGTGAGAGAAAACCTACAAGGACGGTGGCAAGGAATTCGTATTTAGTCACTCAGACCTGTCACAGCTGCAGGGGTGTCTGAGGACATGTGAACAGAGCTCCAGGAATCTCCCCGAGAAGGGCTTTTTTTCTTTGAGGTGCTTAGAGCACTTATCACTTCTTGGGTTCAATCCCTGTTTGTTTCACATAGGTCTCCATTAATTTTCTGTCTAGATTTCTTTTTCGAATTCTCAAATCTTGGGGCGCCTGGGTGGCTCAGTCGTTAAGCGTCTGCCTTCGGCTCAGGTCATGATCCCAGGGTCCTGGGATCGAGCCCCGCATCGGGCTCCCTGCTCCGCGGGAAGCCTGCTTCTCCCTCTCCCACCCCCCCTGCTTGTGTTCCCTCTCTCGCTGTGTCTCTCTCTGTCAAATAAATAAATAAAATATTTTAAAAAATCTCAAATCTTACCACCCTTCTCCCAGCATGTGTCACCACCTGTTCCTTCTGCTTCTCTTGTTACAAAAGTCTGCCTTCCTCACCTCTCTCCAAAGAGAAATGTTTGTTTTGAGCTCTGTCTGCAGACTGCTGCACTTTCCTGCCCCTTTGGATAATGTCAGCTTCCCTTCTTAACATTCACCTCCATTTTTGATTAGGAGTTAGAATTTCAACAGTGTGAATTTGGAGGGGACATAAACACTCAGTCCACAGTACCTGCTGTTCCTTATGTCTTACATTCTGGCTGTGTAGGAAAACCTCTCGCGTCTTCTTTCCTCTGACTCCACTACCACACACAGTGCTTCTGACGCCACGTGTTGGCAGTTTTCCTCACACCAAGCAGTTCTCTGTGACACGAGGCAGGTGTCCTGCGATTTACCTCAATTCTGACATTATCTACCTGGAGGTAGCATCAGATCCCACAGGTTAAGGGCTCCGTCACGTGAGATTGCCCCCCACTTACTTCTCTCTTTCTTCCTTTGTTTTGCTCTTTCCCTTTCTTTCTTTCCCTTTCTGTCTTTCTCTTTCTTTCTTTTTTTCCTTCCTTCCTTCCTTCCTTCTTCCTCCTTCCTTCCTTTCCTCCCCCTTTCTTTCTCTTTCTTCCTTTCTTCTTTCCTTCCTTCCTTCCTAAAAGATTTTATTTATATATTTGACAGAGAGAGCACAAGCAGGGGGAGTGGCAGGCAGAGGGAGAGGGAGAAGCGGGCTCCCCACTGATCGGGGAGTCTGACTCGGGGCTTGATCCCAGGACCCTGGGATCATGACCTGAGTAGAAGGCAGACACTTAACCAGCTGACCCACCCAGGCGCCCGTATTTTTTATTTTTCTGGAAAGAGTAATCACACTTATTGATTGAGGAAAAGGGTATTCTTTTTTTGCCCCCACTTCAGATATCAGTCACAATTAGTAGGTCCCCAGGTTACTCACAACTTCTGTCTGTCTTGGCTACAAATCGGAGGTTCCCATGACCTCCTCCCCCTGGATTTGCTTACTTGCTACAACAGCTCAGAGAACTCTGAGTGCTCTTATCACTTAGGAAATTGTAAGAGTTGTAGCGGCTCTCTGTGGGAACCAGGGGCGGTGAAGTGTGTTTTTTTTCTAGACACTTCCTGACCTTCTCAGCTTCCTATGTAAAGTCTTTGCTATTCCTGCTGATTTCTTAAAATTTGTCATTTTTTGTTCCCAGCCCAGGCCACATCATAAAACCCCATGCCTGCTTTGCTTTAATTTCCTTGTATAATTGTTCATTCTGATCATTATTTTAGTCCATCTTAAATGAGACTGCTGGATTCATTCCCTTAAATCTTTCCTTTTCCTTATGATAATCGGTAACATTAAGTCCCAACTAATCATATTACCAGTCTTTTTTTTTTAAGATTTTATTCATTTAGGGGCGCCTGGGTGGCTCAGTTGGTTAAGCGTCTGCCTTCGGCTCAGGTCATGATCCCAGGGTCCTGGGATCGAGTCCCGCATCGGGCTCCCTGCTCCTTGGGAGCCTGCTTCTCCCTCTGCCTCTCTCTCTCTCTCTCTCTGTCTCTCATGAATAAATAAATAAAATCTTTAAAAAAAAAAAAAAAGAAAGATGGGGCGCCTGGGTGGCTCAGTTGCTTAAGCGACTGCCTTCGGCTCAGGTCATGATCCTGGAGTCCCTGGATCGAGTCCCGCATCGGGCTCCCTGCTCGGCAGGGAGTCTGCTTCTCCCTCTGACCCTCCTCCCTTTCGTGCTCTCTGTCTCTCATTCTCTCTCTCTCAAATAAATAAATAAAATCTTTAAAAAAACAAACGATTTTATTCATTTATTTGAGAGAGGGAGAACATGAGTGATGGGAGGGGCAGAGGGAGAGGGAGAAGCAGCCTCCCTGCTGAGTCGGGAGCCCAATGTGGGGCTCGATAGCAGGACCCCTGGATCATGGCCTGAGCCAAAGGCAGATGCTTAACTGACTGAGCCACCCAGGTGCCCCATATTACCAGTCTAATAGGAAGGAAATTTCTCTTCAATCAACAATCTCCATGATACAGCTCTTGCTTATATAGAGTTTGTTTCCCTTTTCCTAAAGTCAAGGTCAACTATATTTGAAGGAGTCTCCTTCATGTGTTCCATACATGAGAATCTTTCCTTGGTTCATTGTTTTAAATATTTTTGATTACCTTAAATTTGTTTTGTTTTGTTTTGGTAGCCTGTTACACGTGGGCCCCAACAGCTGTGAACAATAACAGCAGCAACAACAAAATTCTTTTTGGAGATGAGTTTGTATGAGGAGAAACAAAATTAATCAGAATAAACGAATATGTCTTGTGGTGAAAAGTGCCGGGAAGATCAGTGGGACAGCAGTGGAATAGTGGGCAAAGCCCTGGAGCTGCTGGAGCACCTGGGAGTCTAGCTGGGGCCTCTAATCTAAGGTCTTCGGGGAATGGGAGTACCTCTTTGGTAAGATGCCTTTGAGCAGCAGTATGAGGGATATGAGGCCTTGGGTGAATTGAGCTCCAAGTAGACAAAATGGTGAGTTAAAGGCCCAAGGCTGGGGCGCCTGGATTGCTTAGTTGGTTAAGTTTCTGTCTTCGGCTCAGGTCGTGATCCGGGGGTCCTGGGATCAAGGCCCACGTCAGGCTCCCTGCTCCCTTCTCCCTCTCCCACCCCCTTGCTTCTGTTCTCTTTTGCTCTCTCTCAAATAAATAAAATCTTAAAAAAAAAAAAGTCAAATGCCTAAAGCAGGAGGTGTTTGAGGAATGTCAGGGAAGCCTGTGTGAATACAGGGAACAGAGCCAGAGGGTGTGGCTGGTGATCTTGTGGAGATAAGGGCGGTGGGGTAGTGGCTGGAGTTTGGAGAATACAGCTCGTGTAGGACCTTGGAAGGACATTTCAAGGGCTTGATATTTTTAAATAACAAGAAAACAATAGGGAGTTTTCAGTAGAAGACAAATATGAAATCATTTATACTTAAAACGATGGCTTTGACTCTTCATAGAAAGGAGACAGTAGCAGATGGGTTGAAGCCTAAAATCCAGCCGGGAACCTGTTGCTATAGTCTAAGACACCTGCGGAGAGAGGGTGAGGGTTGGTCAGCTTCTCAATGTGTTTATAAAGAGGGCAGAAATGAATTCCTACTGAAGTAGGTGGAGGGTGTAAGAGAAAATACAAAAGCAGGATGATGGTAAGTCTTTTTGGTATGAGTCTGGGAGGAGGGAGTTGCCATTTCTGAGATGAAGATGACGTGTGGAGGTGTGGGTTGAGAAGTCAGGGGCTCTGTTTTGGGCATCGTACGTCATTAGACCGTGCTCGTGCACATCCAGGTGCAGCATGCTGTGTTTGGATATACCTGAGGAGTCCAGGGAGAGTTTAGGACTAGAGATAGAAATATGGATTGAGTAGATCTCCTGTGATATGCATACAGATTAAGAAGAGCCTTGGACAACTAGCTGTCAGAATGATGGCTATTTGTTAAATGCAGGGTTTCCTAATATGGTACCCAGACCCCTTTTGAGAGTGTATTTTTGTTAGATTTGGGTGATGGCCTGAGCTAGTCTATATATAATGCCCTAAGCAGGCCCTCTTGAGCCTAGTTGGTGAACCACAATCTTCATATGTGCTGGAAGAAATTGAATTTAGTGAGAAGTAAAGCAATATATTCTAGGAGTGAGATTTTAGTACCAAATAGAAGACGAATTGGCATGTAATATATAGACGTTCAGCTTTTGAATGAGGCATCTTTTTTTTTTTTTTTTTTTTGAGAGAGCACATGTGAGCAGGGGGAGGAGCAGAGGGAAAGAGAGAATTTTAAGCAGGCTTCATACTCATCACGGAGCCCAATCCCGGGCTTGATCTTACAACCCCGAAATCATGACCTGAGCTGAAATCAAGAGTTGGATGCCCAACTGACTGAGCCATCCAGGCACCTCTTGAATGAGGCATCTTGTGCTATAGTTCTGAACTGTGTGAAGTTAATTGTCAAAATGACCAGTAAAGCGGAGCGCCTGGCTCAGTCGGTTGTTTGACTTTGGCTCAGGTCATGATCTCAGGGTCCTAGGATCAAGCCCCATGTTGGGCACTCAGTGTGGAGTTTGCTTGAAATTTTCCTTCTCCCTCTGCCCCTCCTGCTGGTGCTCTCTCACTCTCTCTAAAATAAATAAATCTTAAAAAAAAGACAACCAAGTCTATGTTTATTCATTTTGAGTGATCTTGTTCATGCACCGACTGTTCTTATTTGTATTTTCTTTGCTTATATTACTGTGTTTAACCTTTGTCCAAGTGATAACAAACATATTTACTTGGACTTTCTTTAAAATGAGGTCATAGTGTTACCAATAAAGAGCCAGCCTACACAAAGCCATTTGTGAAATAGTTTTATTATATACCAAGCTCATGGAAAGATTCATTCTTCTCTTTTTTCCTAGAGATCAAGAAAGATGATGGTCATCTACAGGGGCACTTGCAAAATCAAAGATGTCCAAAGAGAATGAAACAATGCCATGAACATAATGCATTCGGAAATGTCATTCATCAGAGTAAAAGTAATTTTCCCTTAAGGCAAAATCATGATATCTTTGACTTAAATGGGAAAACACTGAAATCAAATTTAAGTTTAGTCAACCAGAACAGAAGCTATGAAGTAAAGAACCTCATTGAGGCTAATGGGGATACGAAATCCTTATCCCATACAAAGCATGACCAGTATTGTATTGAAATTAAATTTCCCGAATGTGGGAATTCTATGAATACAAATTCCCAATTCATCAAGCATCAAAGAACTGAAAAGATAGAGAAGCCCCATGTGTGCAGTGAGTGTGGAAAAGGCTTCTTCAAGAAGTCTCGGCTCATGGGTCATCAGAGAGTTCACACAGGAGAGAAGCCTCATGGGTGCAGCGTGTGTGGGAAAGCCTTTTCCAGGAAGTCCAGACTCACTGAACATGAGAAAACTCACGTAGGAGAAAAGCGGTATGAGTGCTCTGAATGTGACAAAGCATTCCCCAAGAAATCACGGCTACTTACGCATCAGAAAACCCATACAGGAGAGAAACCCTACGTGTGCAGTGAGTGTGGAAAAGGCTTCATCAAGAAGTCCCGGCTCATTAACCATCAGAGAGTTCACACAGGAGAGAAGCCTCACGAATGCAGTCTGTGTGACAAAGCATTCTCCAGAAAGTCCAGGCTCGTTGAACACCAGAGAACTCATACGGGAGAAAAACCTTATGAATGCACTGAATGTGATAAAACGTTCCGCTGGAAGTCACAGCTCAATGCCCATCAGAAGACCCATACAGGAGAGAAATCATATATATGCAGTGATTGTGGAAAAGGCTTCATTCAGAAGGGCAATCTCATTGTACATCAGCGAACGCATACTGGGGAGAAGCCTTATATGTGCAGTGAGTGTGGGAAAGGTTTCATTCAGAAGGGCAATCTCCTTATACATCAACGAACTCACACTGGAGAGAAACCCTATGTATGCACCGAATGTGGGAAAGGCTTTAGCCAGAAGACATGCCTCATATCACATCAGCGATTTCACACTGGAAAGACTCCCTTTGTGTGTACTGAGTGTGGAAAATCCTGTTCACACAAGTCTGGTCTCATTAACCACCAGAGAATTCACACAGGAGAGAAACCCTATACCTGCAGTGACTGTGGGAAGGCTTTTAGAGATAAGTCGTGCCTTAACCGACACCGGAGAACTCATACAGGAGAGAGGCCCTATGGATGTGCTGACTGTGGGAAGGCTTTCTCTCACCTGTCCTGCCTTGTTTACCATAAGGGAATGTTGCATGCAAGAGAGAAAGGTGCACGTTCAGTCGCAGTGGAGAATCCTTTCCCAGAGAGCTACAGCTCATCACTTTCCAATGATAGCATGCAGGAGAAGGACCCGGCTAACACGGTGTCCGTGCAGATGACTTCTGTAGCAGCTCAGACTTCCTTACACCTCCGTGGCCTCCTAGCAGACAGGAACATAGCCACCGTGGGACAGCCAGGTACCAGATGTGCACCATCACCAGATAACGGAATCTGCACAGAGAAACCTTTTGAATGCAGTGAATGTGGTAGTGCCTTCACTGATCAGTTACGTCATATTTTATGTCACAAAAAGCACACAGGTATAAAGTGTGATACGATCAAGGTGGAAAACCCTTGACTTAAACCTTCCTGCTCATTATTGGGCTGATAAGTGTATATGGAGACAAATAGTATAACGACCAGGAATAGTATGAAGACAAATAGTACAAAGATCGGAAAATCCTTTGTGGAAAGGTAGACCTTACCGGTGTTTCATAGGTCACATATCATCAGTGAGCTCATAGCTGGTAGAAATAATAATGACCCTGGAAAAGTCCTTCCCCAGAAATAAGACTTCAGTAGGCGTCAGAGATCTCACACCGGAGAAGAACAGTCGGAAGAGCTCTGAAGGCAGTGAATGTGGCACTGTCGTCAGTGGGGCATTCTGCCTCATCAGTTGGCAGAGGAAATCATACAGAAGCAAAACTCTGACCTCACCAACTGTGGAACATCTTCGGCAAAGTACCAGAAAACACATAAAGCAAATAAGCCCTGTGAAAATGAGTGTTTTAGAGATTTCTGCCACAAGTTTGAAATCATTTTACTTGAGATAATGTACATAGTGTACATTTTAGGACAATATACCTCGAATCAAACTCCTCATTGATATGATGGTCACTCTTTAATTCAAAGGAGGTGGTATATATTGCACATCAGTGGTTAGAGTCAGAACAGTGCACCCCCTCCCTTTTTTGGGGGTGTGTGAATCTCTCATTCCCGCCCATGATCATTATATGGTTAGCTCTTGTGTTTCTTTGGTCCTAAATTTATTCAGTTTATTTTAGGCTACTGAAGTCCCTCCTTCAGCCTTCAAAAGGAAAGTGAATACATTTGATTCAGTAACGTACCATCGTGTGTTTGGATGTGTTTAACTTTGTAAATCTCACCCAAAGGAACAACTGTTCAGAACTTACAACCTGTCAGCCAGGTTCTTTCCCTAGAAGATAGTTCCTATCCGGTACACACACCACTCAGAAAAACTTTTCAGCTGTTTCCTTTACCTGGTGCTGTTCTAGAACCTACAGTTGCTGACAGTGATGAACTGAACAAAAGTCCTTGCTGCCTTTGAGCTGGCATTTTTAAAAAAAGATTTATTTACTTGAGAAAGAGAGCACAAGCAGGGGAAGTAGAAGGCAGAGGGAGAGGGAGAAGCAGGGAGCCTGATGTGGGGCTCGAGCCCAGGACCCTGGGATCATGATCTGAGCTGAAGGCAGATGCTTAACCGACTGAGCCACCCAGGTGCCCCTAAGCTGGTGTTTTTTTAAAGCTGGATTATATGTGTGTAGCAATTTGACCCTCCAGCATGTGTAATCAAAGGATGTATACACCTACATTAGTTGAAAAGGACATACCATAGAAGATACAAAGTATCCTGGTAATTTCTTTTTCGAGGGGCATATTCTTACTTGGAAAGGGAGCAGGAAAGGATTCACTTAGTTTTACACATGTAAAATAAGATATGGAGACTTCTTTAAAAGGTTCGTATCTTATCTCTCCACTTGAATTATAAATGTCTATCTGGATAGTTTATAGTTTATATTCCCCAGCACATAGCAAAATAGAAATGAATTACATTGCTTTGAAAGATGATTGAAAGTGAGTGTATGACCTATTAATGACCTAACAGACTAACCAACCAAACATATTTTTGTCACTGAAGGAAAGGAGCTATAGGAAAGAAATTTCAAAGATCAGTATTATCCCAAGAAACATTAAAAAAAGAATCCTGATGGGCGCCTGGGTGGCTCAGTTGGTTAAGTGACTGCCTTCGGCTCAGGTCATGATCCTGGAGTCCCGGGATCGAGTCCCGCATCGGGCTCCCTGCTCAGCAGGGAGTCTGCTTCTCCCTCTGACCCTCTTCCCTCTCGTGCTCTCTGTCTCTCATTCTCTCTCTCAAATAAATAAATAAAATCTTTAAAAAAAAAAAAAGAATCCTGAATAGAGGCCTCTGGCAATATAGAAGGGGCAGATCAGTGAAGGAATAGGATCCACAGAACAAGCCCAATTAATGGAAGAAAATGACGTCACTTTAAAAATTGAGGACAGTGTGTTAGATGGGTGGAGGTGAGATTCCGTCAGATGTCGTGGAGAAGAGCCTTGACCCTGGTCCACAGTCTGCCACCTGTTAGAGTTGCTAGAGTCTCAGGGATCCCAGCTCCACTGTGATGTGATGAACGGAGACATGATGTCGCATCATCATCTTCATTGTCCTGTGTCAGTGGGGCCTGTGTCATCTCTTCTGTACTCAGATTTCTTTCCCTTGCTTCAGTAAAGACCTATCCAGCTTAAAAACAGTGAGTCCTACTTACAAGGGAAAAAAGTGGAAATTTGCCATGAAGTGGCTGTTCCGTAATTGAATTCCAAACTCGAGTCAATTACTCCATTCACTACTACAGACATCTTTTTGAGCATCTGCATCGTGCCAGGTACTGTTGCAGGCATGGGATACTCTGGGAAACAACACATGCAAACTAATGGCCTCTAACAGGATGGATGCGGGGCAGATGCTCTTCAGAGAATCAGAAATGGATTCTTCTTTGACTCGATCTTCAAGTTCTTTCCACTCCTTGTCTTGTGAATCTGCATGTCATATCATGGTGGTTGGCATCGTCCTACTTAAATCTGCAGTTAGGGTCCCTGAATGGGCTGCCCAGCCTACCCTGAACCTGAGGACCAGGTGCTGAACTCACCTTTCCGAGGTTGGTATCCCAGGTAAATAAAACATATTAGTGCGATAGATTCCATACGATCCTCTTTAAGAAGGTTGTGTCAGCTTACATCCTCTACTGCTCCACCCCCTCGCCTTCATAAAAATCAGTTCTAACTAACACTAAGCGTGCCGTTTGCCAAATGATAACCACATTGTCTTACTAGTATTCTGAAATGTTCCATTTCCATCTTGGTGTATTTTAGGGAAGTGCTTTTGTACATTGGAAGCTCATCACTTTCTCCTTGGTCCGGGTACCACGTTCTCAGCTGTTGCACATGGTGATGAGTGAGGATACTGAGGTCAGGGCTTGGGGTCTGTTGGGGTCCAGACTCTGCCTTGTCTGGCTCAGTGGGGGTGGGTGTATTAGTCTGCTTGCGCTGTCATAACAAAGCACAGACTCGGGGGTTGAAACAACAGACATTTGCTCACAGTTCTGGAGGCTAAAGTGTGAGATCAAGTCCGCAGGGTTGGTTCCTTCTGAGGTCTCGCCTTGGCTTGTAGATGACCACACACCCTTTGTGTGTGCTTTAGGCTGGAAAATGAAGTGGAAGCTCTTCAGCTGTTCCTCATGGAGGACCATGGAGGTTCAAGTGAAAAGGAGAGTTGATTTTTGGAGGGATGTGCCTTGAATGTCTCTAAAAGTTGCATTCACTGATTTCTGCCCAGGAGTATCCCTGCCTTTGGGCTGTGCACCTTTTCCTCTGATAATGTTAACAAAGAGTCAGGAAGTTTCTGGGGCTTGGACCAAATTGCCTTGATATCTGAGATGCAGGCTGGGGGATAAGGGACCCTGTGAATTTGGAGGAAATGAGGACAGTTGTAGAAAGTGGTTAAGGTTAAGGTTGTTCCTGAGCAAGATATTTGATTCCAAAGGCTTAGTGTGACATAACAAGAAATACATATTTGGTCTCTGCTCCCAGTTCCTGACTCAGAGCTCCTAAACCCTTGTAATTTCCTGAACCACAGGGGTGATAGGAATGTCTTACACAGAGCTGTTAAATCCCTTGAAACTTCCTGGTGATAGAAGTGTCTTTTCTTCTAATAAGGTGACTCTTGGTGGGCTCCTGGATGTATCCTGGATCGGGGTTTTTTTACCAGAAAGACCACCACCCTTGACTAGAAGCTTGGAACTTTCAGGGAAGGGAAAGGGGCTAGAGATTGGGTTAATAATCATTCAATATCTATCTACCTACCTACCTACCTACCTATCTACCTATCTATAATCATTTGAAACTTTTGTCTTTAAAATGCTTACATGAATCAAGTAGGTAATTTTTTTTAAAGTAAAGGTAATATGTATATATATTTTTAAATGGTTATTTGTGCATATATTTTATATATTCAGCAAACAAGTGAGTTCCCTTTTATGTTGGGGGTCGTCAAGACCATCCTCAGGTTTGATAATTTGCTAAGACTCAGAACTCAGAAAACTTGTTATACTCAAGGTTACATTTACTATAGAAAGGATAGAGATTAAAACAGCAAAGGAAAAGCCACAGTGTGACCTGGGGGTGGTGGCTGTGTGTCAAATGGCGCCTGAGCCTGTGGAGAAGCTGGAGACTGAAGTCAGCCATGTGTGTGTCCTGCCCAGCTGATGTGCTTGAGCCCCAGTAGAGAGTGGACATCAAGGCTCAGATGAGCTTTCCCCGTTGGCACTTTCCCATGCCTGCTGTCACAAGTTCATGCTGAGGAAGTGGCGCTGCCCATGGCTCCATTGTGGGAGGACAGCTGGACGCTCCATGTTTGGAACTTTCCTGTACTCTGCCCTTTGTGCCACTTTTCTTGGCTGAGGTTAATCTGTATCCTTTAACTATAATAAACTGTAACTGTGAGTGTAACAGCTTTCAGTGAGTTCTCAGTCCCGCTAGCAAATTATCATGGCCTTACAGAATATTCTCCCTAGTTTCGGTAGCTCAGTGCTGCATTTTGGGTAATTTCTAGTCCACTAATTATCCCTTCAATGCTTCTAATATGCTTTTAAAATATGTATTTCTTTTTTCAGAAATACTCTTCTCAAATCTGCCTATTTGTCTCTTTATAGTTCCTGTTCTTTAGGCATTTTTTAAAAAGATTTTATTTATTTATTTGACAGAGACAGAGATAGCGAGAGCAGGAACACATGCAGGGGGAGTGGGAAAGGGAGAAGCAGGCTTCCCAATGAGCAGGGAGCCCGATGTGGGGCTCAATCCCAGGACCCTGGGATCATGACTTGAGCCGAAGGCAGATGCTTAACAACTGAGCCACCCAGGCGCCCTGTTCTTTAAAGGCATTTTAAAATACTTTATTCCTTACAACATTTTTTTTTTAGAGAGGAAGAGGGAGGTTGGGAGGGAGGGGCAGAGGGAGAGTGAGAGAGAATCTTAAGTAGGCTCCACGCCTAGCACAGAGCCCAACATGGGGCCAGTCTTAGGACCCTGAGATCATGACCTGAGCTGAAATCAAAAGTTGGACATTCAATCAACTGAGACACCCAGGTGCCCCTACAATGTTTTTGAGAAAACTGCTTGTATTGATGCAGCATATATGGTGACAATAAGCAGAATAACTTCCTTTACATGACATCTGTATCAATAAAAGGGAGGTGCACCTGGCTGGTTCAGTTGGTAGAGCATGCGACTCTTGATCTCAAGGATGTGAGTTCAAGCCCTGCATTGGGTCTAGAGATTACTTAAAAAAAAAAATCTTAAAAAAAAAAATAAATGGGAAGCATTCATGTTAAAGAGGATCCTGTTGTTACAGGACTTGCTGACACTGGAGGATGTGGCTGTGGACTTCACCTGGGAGGAGTGGCAGCTCCTGGCCCCTGCCCAGAAGGACCTGTACCGGGACGTGCTGTTGAAGAATTATAGGAACCTGGTGTTATTGGGTGAGGACAGCTCCCTTGTGTCACTTAGAGGGTCCTCATCAGTGGTCTGTCCTCTGTCAGCCACTTAACGCTTCAGAGTATCTGCAGTGCTCTCAAGTGGTAGATTCTCAGATCCTTCTCTGGCTTCAGACAAGAGTGTATAATGAGTTGTCTCCTGAGAGAAAAGCCTCTGAGTTGCAGATCTGAAAACTGTCTCAGTCCCTCAGATATAGCATTCTCCCATCTTGACAGACCCCAGCCCATTTCGAAGTGTTGTCTTTTCCATGAGCAGGGCATCAAGCTAGCAAACCAGATGTGCTTTCCAAGCTGGAATGAGGGCAAGAACTGTGGGCGATAGAAGAGGAAGTCCACAGTCGAACCCATCCAGGTGAGTGGGAGAGAACAGCAAGGTGGACGGCTGAGGAAGTCCCGTTCTCAGTGGTCAGGGAAGGCTCCAGGGCTGTGATGGTCTCTGAGAATGTCTAAACAACTGCCCCTCATATCCTTCTTCCCTTACTAGATAGAGCTTCTTTGTAGTTGAGGAAAATATGCCCCTTTTATTCTTCCAAGAGCTGATCCCTGTTTATTTTATGTACATCTTGATTTTTTGTTGTTGTTTGGTTCTCTTCTTCCTACATTTCTCATATATATATATTTTTTTAAGATTTATTTATTTATTTTAGAGAGAGTGAGCATGTGCGAGTGGTGGGGCGGGGCAGAGGGAAAGAGAATCTCAAGCAGACTCTGTGCTGAGTGAGGAGCCCAATGCAGGCTTGATCTCACGACCCCAAGATCATGACCTGAGCTGAAACCAAGAGTCAGACGCTTAACTGACTATGCCACCCAGGTACCCCAACTCAAATCTCCTTTTTTTTATTCATTGTAACAGTGTCTCTAACTACTTCTTCTATCTCCCACCTCCCTTGCTATGAAATCTCACCTTCTAGGCATTACTCCAAACATAGACGTTTGAATTCAACAGTCTTCCAACTAGTTCATCTTCCCATTCCATTGCAAACTAGTGATTTCCCTTCCCAGCGTTCAGCCTCACTTTGGTTGCTGTGCCCACACTGTCATCTGATCTCTGTGTTTCCATGGTTTCTTAGCTTGTTCTAGACTAAATGTTTGTGTCCTCTCAAGATTAGGATGTTGAAATCCTAATCCCCAAGGGGATGGTGTTAGGAGGTGAGGCCTTTGAGAAGTGATTAGGTTATGAAGAGTCCTGCCTCTTCTGCCATATGAGGTTGTAGCTGGGAGCACTGCCTATGAAAAAGGAGGCCTCCCAGACACCAATCTGTTGGTACCCTGATCTGGGACTTCCCAGCCTCCAGAAATATGAGAAATAAATTTCTATTGTTTTTTGTTATAGCAGCCTGAGTGAATTAAGACACTTCTCTTTCCCCACTCTGAAATTGTCCAAAGGTTCTATTTTCTTTTTCTTGCTCTGTTCTGAATTCCTTAAAGCTTGCCTTCATTTTGATGAATTAAGCTCTTATTCTCTATAAAGACTCCGAAGTTCACAGAAACTCCTGAGTGAATTCAGAATTTTTCTTAAGGAACTAAAATCACTTTCCCTATAAGAAAATTTCTTCCATCTTCCTCTTTTTTTTTTTTTTTTTAAGTTTAGGGTCCTCTAATAGTTTAGAAAAACTAAATCTACTAAAGTAGGCTAAGAAAGAATAGTGGGAGTTAAGAAAGAGGTGGTGAGGTTGGACGATCTAAGAGAGTCTGGTTCTCCAGAAGCAGAACAAAAATGTCTTTCAAGAAAGTAAGAGCTGGGGCATCTGGGTGGCTCAGTCGGTTGGGCATCTGCCTACGCCTTGGGCCATGATCCCGGCATCCTGGGATCAAGCCCCGTGTCAGGCTTGGGGAGTCTGCATGCTTCTCCCTCTGCCGCTCCCTGCTACTTGTGCTCTCTCTTGCTTGCACTCTGTCTCTTTCTCTCAAATAAATAAAATCTTAAAAAAGAAAATAAAAAAAGAAAGTAAGAGCCGTAAACATTATCTGGAGTTGCTGATTCATCAAGTGAGATATAAACTAAGGGATAGGGATGTGATCTTACTGTTGTCTTCCCATTCTTACAGTTGCGTGTATGTGTACTTTTTTCACTTTAAATTCTCTTTTCATGACATGGTCTTTGACCACTGCCTTGTGTTTTCCTTCAATGAATTCTCATTGTACTTTGCGTCCAGACCATTGAAACGCAGGCTTGAAAACACAAAAATAGTACCATCTATTTTTCAAACATTTCCTAAATCCAAGGCTTTTGTTGGAGACGGTGTGCATAATGCATGTATCCAGGCCTCTCCCTCTCAGTCTGGTTGATTAGATTTTGGGTACAAGTCTCGGGATGTCAGTATTTAAAGTCCTCTAGAGGATGCTGTTGTGGCAGTTTACTTGGTGACTCATAGCTGAAATGCTGAATTTCAACAGAAGCAAAAAATACTATCTAGTAGCAAAGAGTTTTGTGCTGAATATATGACATGGATACATGAAAATCTGTATGCGATAGAGGTTTTGAACAAAAGGTATTGCTGTTAGATTTCAAGGTTGAGGTTACATGTCAAAGTGATGAGTAAAGATGTGATATTATGGAAATCTAGAGGAAACAGAATCTACAGTTATATAGAGAGCATGGGAAATGATGGCATGATATGTGGGAGCATATCTAGATTTTAAATAAAGATCATGTGCTGCTCAGGTGGCTCCGTCAGTTAAGCATCCAACTCTTGATTTCAGGTCAGGTCATGATCTCAGGGTCATGAGATCGAGTCTTGTACTGGCCTTCATGCTCAGTACAGAGTCTGCTTGAGATTCTCTCTCTTCTCCCTCTGCCCCTTCCCTTGCTTGCGTATGTTCTTTCTCTCTCTCTCTAAATAAATAAAATCTTAAAAAAAAAAAAAAAGATAATGAAGGGTAAAGAATGGAGGCATAAATAGTAGGAAATCTGCAAAGCCATGGCCAAGACTGCCACAGATTGGTCTGAAGCCAGCCATGCGAAGGCCAGTCAGAGGGTATTTGTGGGGGAAGTAGTGGAATGGAAATGGGTAAGTGGGGTAATCAAGGCAATGTTACCTTTTTTTTTTTTTAAAGATTTTATTTATTTATTTGACAGAGAGAGACACAGCGAGAGAGGGAACACAAGCAGGGGGAGGGGGAGAAGGAGAAGCAGGCTTCCCGCAGAGCGGGGAGCCCGATGCGGGGCTCGATCCCAGGACCCTGAGACCACGACCCGAGCCGAAGGCAGACGCTCAACGACTGAGCCACCACGGCGCCCCGGCAATGTTAACTTTTATTGCCATGCCGACTGTTTATATTTTATGTATTAGTAATTGAATTATTTGAGGTAGCATGGTAGGGTTCTTTTTGTTGTTTTGTTTTTCTCTAGCTCTGGGTAGTCTTAATTTCTACCTGGTAGCAACTGTATAGCAATAATAAGGAACAGCCAGAGGTTGTAGGAAAAACTGAACGTATAGCTGGCTTGAGTCTTGGTTCAAAAGGAGGCAAGTGGTCCTTTAGGCTGCTTAACTGATACCAGCATGGAGACATAAATGTAGGATTATGGAAGAAGATGCAGTCTGATGCAAGATGAGGGGTCAGTGCATTAGGGATATCAAAATGGGAGAAGACCAGCTTGACATCTATATAGGTACAACATGCAGAATGTGTTTTTCTTACCACGTTTAGAAGCACATATACGGGCGCCTGGGTGGCTGAGTCAGTTAAGTGTCTGCCTTCAGCTCAGGTCATGACCTCAGGGTCCTGGGATCAAGCCTTCTCGGGGGGTGGGGGGAGTCTGCTTTTCCCTCTCTCTCTCTGCCCCTCCCCACCATTCATGCTCTCTCTAGCTCGCACTCTGACTGAATGCAAAAATAAAATAAAATCTTTAGAAGCACATCTGCCTCTGGAGAACTCTGTGTGTCCGTCCAGTCTGTTGTAAATTCCTGGATGGTCATTGTCTCTCATCTTTGCCCCTTTCTTCAGGAGCAAACCTCAGCTAGACTAAAAGTTGGAGTGTTGAGGTAAGAGTTGCTCTCTAAACGTGTGACCAGTGTGATCGTACTGTGCAGAATAAAGAAAAGGGTAGATTTTAGAAACAGGATGACCACTTAAGAGTATCATAGATACATCGAAATCAAACACTGAGGATCCAACCTTCTGAATTGCCTCTCTGAGCCATTTGTTCATAACAAGCATCTGCTTCTATCCTTGACCAGCATAATCAGTTTGTTTCCTTTGGTGGGATCTTCCAAACCAGAAGTCTGAATATTTAAGTGACTAACATCTTGGTCCTCTGCCTCACCTTTCTTTCAATCTTTGCATTCTCTGAACATGACCTCAGCTCGTCTTTTATCCTTAAATATTTATGTACTGAAGTTTTCCACACTGCTGTGTCCACACAGGCCAATTCTCAACATTGATATATCCAACTGGGTACTGGCACTTTATGGTCTAATAAAAATCTAAATGTTTACATGCTTCTAAAAGTCCACTTATTTCCCCCACATTCTGAACCTCAGTAACATTCACCCCCTTGAAGGCAGTTTCCACTTACCTCTTGACTCAAGCGAAATATTGAGGAGTAAACCTTAATTCCTCATGTTCTTTATTCCCCCACTCCCCATTTTGAACTCACCGGTGAGACTTGTCTTACCCCATAGGGTATCTTCATTTCCTCCACCCCTCTTCATCTCCTTTGCTCCTTCAAACCACTTCTCATAATTTGCAGCTGTCTCCTTTTCTTCTTTGCTTATTTTCCCTAACTAGAGTGTAAGCTCAGTGAGAATAATATGTTTGTGTGTCCCCAGTGCCAGCACTGTGGCCAGCACTTAACAGGCATTTTATCAGGATTTGTGGAATGACTGAAAGCAGCCCTTGTAATTTTGGGTGATGTTTTTCTTCCACCTCTATTTTCTCTTCTAAAGGGGCTTTCTTATTTCCTACTCTTTCTGCATGTTTTTGCAAGACACTATTTAGAAAGCAGCTGACTCTGTATTTATTCATTGTGAATCATCTAAGCTCATTTGTATGTTTATTGCTTTTTCCACTTGATTTTTGTGTATTGTGTTTTTACTAGTGTTCAAGAAATAAGGAACATTATTAAAGATTCTCTTATCCTGAAATCATGCAGTCAACACTAAAGATTGGCCAGTCCACACCTGGGCATTCATTGTTCTCTTCTTTCCTAGAAGTCGAAATTGATGATCATCTGCAGTGATACTTGCATACCCAGAGACTTCTAAAGACAACCAAATATGGAACAATGTGTGAACATAATGTCTTTGAAAATATTGTTCATCTGGACCAACATCATTTTCCTTTAAGGCAAAGTCATGGAAAAACTCTGACATCAAATTTAAATTCAGTCAGTTAAAACAGAAACTGAAATAAAGAACCCCGTGTGCATGATGGAGATGGGAAATCCTTTCTCCTTACAAAATATGAGAGATTCAAACTAAAATGCCTGAAATTGGAAAACCCATCAGCACTAAGGCTCCCATTTGTTAAGCATTGGAGAACTCACAAAATGGAGAAATGTACATATACAGTGAATGTGGTGAATCCCTCATCAGGAAGTCTCAGCTCACTGAAGATGAGAGAATTCACTGGGGAGAGAAACTCCATGTTTCTGTAGTACATATGGGAAGGCACATACCACAAAGTCTAGACTCACTGAGCACCAGAAAATTCATACACGAGAGAAACCTTATGTAGGTGAATGTGGCAAAGCCTGTTATAGGAAGTCAGTCATTATACAAGAGAGAAATGAAAGAGGAGAAAACCCCCGTTGATGCACTAAATGTGGCAAAGCCTTTCTCATTAAATGACATCTTAGTTTACGTCAGAAAACTCATACCTGAGAGAAACACTGTATGTGTAATGATTGTGGAAAGGGCTTCACCCAGATTAGTTTCATTGTACATTGGTGAACTCATACTGGCAAGAAACCTTATATATGTAGTGAATGTGGACAAGGCTTCAATCAGAAGATAAGTCCCATGTGACATCAGGGAGTTCATACAAACAAGACTTCCTTTCTATGTAGTGACTGAAAAATCCTGTCCTCAGAAATCAGGTCTCATTAAACATCAGAAAACGCACACAGGAGAGAAACCTCATAAATGTAGTGAATGTGGGAAAACCTTCATCATGAAACAACAGCTCATTGTCATTAAAGAACTCATACAGGAAAGAGATCCTGTGAATACACTGGGTGTGGGAAAGCTTTTTCCTACAAGTCTTGCCTTATTAAACATAAGAAACATACACAAAGGAGAAATATGTAGATTCATAAACGTGGAAAACCCTTCCACAGAGAGTTACAGCTTTTTACGTATAAGTGAAACACTATCAATTTGGTCACTGCAAATGCCTTCTGTCACCCCTCAGACATCATTAAGTATTAGTGGAGTCTTAGCAAATAGGAACACAGTCCTTTCAGGAACAAACTCTTGCTAGATGTGCACCCTCAAGAGATAGCAGAAAATTTGCACAGGGGAATAAATACCTTATAATTGCAGTGAATGTGAAAGTGCCGTCACTGGTCAATTAGGTCACATTTTATGTCTAAAAAACCTATGGGAAGGAAACTTAGATATATTTGAGGTAGAAAAACAGTGAACAAAAAATTCCAGGTCATTATATAGCTAAGTATATTTTGAGAGAGATACGAATGCAGAGACTGGGAAAGCATGACAAATTTCATCCTGTTATGTATGTTTATGTGTTGATACAGAGACATAGTCTGATGTTATTAATCTCAGCTTCCATCTACCTTGATTGCTCACTTTTGTCAACCAATCTGGAATGTCTGAGATCATAAGTGAAGCAAAACACTACTGTGATGACAAATAAGATAATTGGTATCTGGATGTTGCTAGGACTGAAAATCTTTATAATATAGAGTTGCTTGGTAGAAAAAGCAGTATTTGACTAGTGGAGTTTGGGGCACATGTATCTGTTCAGTTTCCCTAGGATAGTGTGGAGAATTAATTGAAAAGTGGCACCCCTTTCACAGATTCTCAGGACTTTCTATTATGCAAAGTCACCTGAGAAACAGCCTTACATTGAATCTCTGTTCATTCAGTATTTGTGAAATACCTCCTTTGGACCTGGTATTATTCTATCAGCTAAGGACACAGGGGTGAACAAAACAATGTCTTTGCCCTCCTGGAATGAGTGTTAGCTGAATTACTCCATCTAACATACTCGGGGTATGTAAACTCCTACATTAGGTGAAATGGACATGGACTAACTGGATCATGGGGTTTGGATTTAGAATGATGTGGAGTTAGATCCTAAAAACGTCTTTCCCCAAGGAGGGTATAATGGGAGACAGGGAAACACTCCCTATTAATAATGTATAAATAATTGACTGACGAATGGATAAAGAAGATGTGATACACACACACTGGCATATTCCTCAGCCATAAAAAAGAATGAGATCTTGCCATTTGCAACACGTGGATGGAGCTAGAGAGTATTATGCTAAGCAAAATAACTCAGAGAAAGAGAACTACCATATGATTTCACTCGTGGAATTTAGGAAACAAAACATGAATATGGAGTGGGGGCAGAGAGGCAAACTGACTCTTAACTAAAAAGAACAAACTGATGGTTACTGGAGGGGAGGTGGGGGGGCTAGGTGGGTTTATAAATAGATGATAGGTATTAAGGAATGCATTTGTTATGATGAGCACTGGGTGTTGTATACAGCTGATGAATCACTAAATTTGACATCTGAAACTAATACTGTATGTTAACTAACGAATTTAAATAAAAACGGGAAGAAAAAGGATGTATAAATAATCCAGGATACAAATACTTTAAAAAAAAATGCCCATGTCTTACCACCCCACATTGATTATACATTCCTTGATAGTTTTGCACTAACTTCAGTAGCCATTAGCTACATGTAGCTATTTAAATGTAAATCAGTTAAAATTAAAAATACTTCATCAGTATCAAGAGTTCACATTTCAAAAGTTCAGTATTTTTTTGTGGCTAGTGACCACCACGTTGGACAGTACGGATAAGAACATTTCATTGTCACCGAACAGTATGTTGCATGGTGCTGCTTTATAGAGTCACATATCCTTTGTGATATAGAAAAGATAATTATATATTGACTTGGAAGATGAATGGACTATAAAGAAAAAGTTCTATTATTGCAAAGAATGAGTAATTGTAAGGCAGTTCTAAAAGAATGGGATTGTTCAAAAAATGCTTTGTGTACATGTGCATTAGAATAAATGTCGCCTAGGGCGCCTGGGTGGCTCAGTTGGTTAAGCGACTGCCTTCGGCTCAGGTCATGATCCTGGAGTCCCGGGATCGAGTCCCGCATCGGGCTCCCTGCTCGGTGGGGAGCCTGCTTCTGCCTCTGACCCTCCCCCCTCTCATGTGCTTTCTCTCTCTCGTTCTCTCTGTCTCAAATAAATAAATAAATAAATATTTTTTTTTAAAGATTTTATTTATTTATTTGACAGAGACACAGCGAGAGAGGGAATACAAGCAGGGGGAATGGGAGAGGGAGAAGCAGGCTTCCCGCGGAGCAGGGAGCCCGATGCGGGGCTCGATCCCAGGACCCTGGGATCATGACCTGAGCCGAAGGCAGACGCTTAATGACTGAGCCACCACCCAGGCGCCCCTAAAAAAAAAATCTTAAAATAAATAAATAAATAAATAAATGCCGCCTATAAAAGGGGGAGAGCAGAAGAGAAATGGGATGCCCCGGATAAGTCAAAAGGCATGAGAACCTTGGTGTAAGATGGAAGAAAGCTGGAATATGAAAGGAGGTAAGATTCCTCTTGGGTGTATTGGAGAAGAACCCTTACATTGTTCACAACCCTATCACCTCTGAAAGTTGCCATAATTCCATAGTTCCCATTTCTTCTGTGACCTGCTCAATTGCACCTGTGATCTTCCTTTTCCAGTCCTTCCTCTTATGACTGGGGCTCTTGTCCTCTCTCATCTACCCAGAGCCTTTCTCTTGATCCAATAAAGGTATCTTGCTAAAAAACCTTGAATCCTGATTAGAGCAGAAGAAATGGATATTTGCTATGCAGAAGCTGTCTTACCTTTCCACCACAAACCTCTGGATTATCAGGGAAATTCAATCCAACATATGTTTTTAAGCACCTAAATTTGGTTATCTCAACACCTGAGATTTGATTCTGTAATGCAGTCATTAGATAATTCAGAACAGGAAAATTTTCATGATTGATTTGTATTTTGTATTTGATTTGTATAGGATCGCCTTGCCTGCCTTATGAAAACGAGGTAGTAGAGACTTAGTATCAGGTACGAGGCTGGGCCAGCATAGTAATTATAAAGCACTGACTTCGTGCTTTGACCTGTGGTTACATGACTTTATCAGGTGCATTCTGAAAATGATGATGGCCTACGGGGTTGAACATAGTGGGGGCAAACAGGTTAACCTGGCATCTGTGCCCCAGCCTGTGTTCTCGAGATCTTTAAGCTCAGTATTGGGGTTGGGGGAGTGGGGAGAATATGAGCTGGAGCAGGGCTAGAAATGGGTAGTAGGCCTGCAAATGGCTGGCAAAGACGGCTTGGTGATGCAGACGCACGGGACTGTGGTAAATCAGTTCTTTGTGGTCATTTCATTTTCTACACATGAAAGTTCCTAAGATTTCCAGTTGCAATATCCAAAACACTGGAAACAGCCCAAAGGCAGTTAGGCTGTGTGGAAGAAGCCAGAAAAAAAGAGTACACGCACGACTCATTCCACGAATACGTCTTCAGTGACAAGCGGCTGACCAGGATGGTAAGTGGCATGGTTGGGATGAGGCTGGCAACAGGCTCAACGTCGTGGCTTCAGCTTCCTTTGCGACCGCCGAACACCCGTCACCATCTCACTCTTCCAAACCGTGGTCTCCCGAAGGAAGCACCCTTGCTTGCTCAGCTCCCAGGCAGCTCGGGCTCCGCCACCCGGACACCGAAGTCCGTCCGAGCCAACGCGCACGGGCCCCGGGCGCAGCCCTCCCCGGCCACAGCGCGCCGCCTGCTTTCTTGTCGAGCCTGCGTGCATTTTGACGCAGCTCTGAGCCTTTTCTCAATGAGAATCGAGACTGCGGAGCCCGGAAGTTATTTTATTTCCCGCCGAGCCGCGGCCCTTAGATGGGAAAGGGCTCCGGCCTTTGAAAACCTGGCGCCCTGCCCCGTCCCCTACAACGAGGAGCCCTGCGCCCTCAAAGATGACCCCCATGTCATGTCTGCCCTGCGTGAACTCGAGCCTCTGAACAGCTCTCCATTTTCCCGTAAGAGCTGAGGGCCAGGAAGCGCGAGGGTTTCGGCGGCACGCCCCGTCCTGTCACCGCACAAGCGCAGCCGCCGTGCCTTCGTACGTCAGGTGTGCAAAGATGGCGGCCTCCAGGGCGTCAAGGCGACGGCCGCGCGGACCTATGACCTCATAAATAAGCGCCGGAAACCCGTATTCCGTTCTCCATAGAAACGCGCCAGAAACGCCGCTGAGCCTCGTCAGGTGTTCTCGGGAGAGGAGTCTGGGTGAGGGGACTAGAGCGAAGGAAGTTTAGGGAAGTAAGTTGGGCCCTGAAGAGGTCGCTGCAGACTCAGGAGAGACTCAATTCCGCGTGTGGGTCAGTCTGTAGAGAAGCGTTGGGGAGGAGAGGGGCGGCCTAACGGTCTCTGGGTCAGTTGCTGGTCCCTTGAGTCTGTGAAGGTAGCGCAGGGGCGGGTGTGGTTTTTGGAGGTGAGCACGGAGGAGTCTGTACTGTATGTACTCGAGATGTCCTTGGGGTCAATCATGGGGGGTCCTGGTGGTCAGTGGGTGAAGCTCTGAACAGATGAACTCCCGAGAGTCCTGAAGTCAGGGTTTAGAGTCTTCGCGGGTCACTCTCCTTGTAGGTGATTGACAACTGGCGGGGGGCGGGGGGGTGTTTGTTAACGACCGTGGCGTTTGGCGCGGGGTTCTGGAATAATTTGGGAGCTCGGTGATCGGGGAACTATTGAGGGAGGTCAGTGTACGTACGTGTGTCGCTGGTCCGGGTTTGGTATTGCCTGTCTTTTGTGCGGGGTTGTGTGACAACAGGCTTGGAGGTTCAGGAACGCTGGCTGGTTTGTGCGTTGGGCTCAGACTCGCTCCTGGAACAGAGCTGTTGCACGTTAGCATTCCTCAAGAGCTTCAGGCCCAAATCCCTCCTCCCTACAATTTTCTAATGTCTTCTGGCTCCCCACCTCCTCCCATCCCTTTGAACCTGCGGAAATGAAAGTTTTGAGGGAGGTGAACGATTCAGATTTAAAATTAATTAGTCTTTTGTTTAAGACTCTGTGTTTATCCTTCTGTAATTTTTGTGTATTCTTTTGGATATTTCCTTCCAGGTTACTTATGTATGTAAAGGCTGACATTTTCCCGGTATTTATATTTTTGAGGTGTTTTAAATTTAAGAAAAAAAAAAATTTGAGGTGTTTTTAAAAATTTGTATCCATTGCTCATATTCCTTCTCTTTATTTCGGTGTGCTCGTTGTTCCTCCTATCGAAATGTAGGTAGATAGGGTGTGTAAAGACTTTTAAAGAGATAGAGCAAGATAGTTTAAAGGAAAAATTCACTGTTGCTCACTGTCCATATGGCCTCGTTTCTAAAATTGATCTGAAAATGACCTGCCACTGAGGCATAGTTCTGTTCTGATTCTCCTTTGCCACTTTCCCCTTGCTGGTTATTTCTACACATTCAGAATCTTATGCCTAAGGCATGATTTCTGGGGAACCGAATAAAGAGACAGAAATACTGGGACTGTGTGGTAAGGTGAGTGCATAGCAAGAGAGAATGTAACACTGAAAGTAATTTTGTTCTTCGGCCCACAGGTCCTGACAAGAGACAAGAAATGAATGAAGAGAAAGGAGGTCCCAGGACCTAGATAGTGTCTTATCTGGGCCACTTTTGACTGGTGACTAGATTTCTAACTAGAAATTTAGAGCATATCCAGAAGAGACAAAGACAGAATATCCCAGTTGCTGGCCATTTCTCAAAACAGAAGAAAATGATCAATGCCCAGGTGATTTTTGTCTTGTTTTATTCTTTCCTTTGTTCCCTAATGGATGTGTAGAGGCTTGTAAAAATCAGTTCAGTATCTAGAGAGAAAGAAAGTTTGAATCTAACTCCAACGTCGTCACAAAGTAGAATCAAGAATATAGGGTTCAGGGGCGCCTGGGTGGCTCTGTTGGTTGAGTGTCCGGCTCTTGATTGCAGCTCAGGTCTTGATCTGAGGGTCATGAGTTCAAGCCCTGCATTGGGCTCCACGCGTGGAGCCTACTTAAAAAAAAAAAGAATGTAGTGTTCATATGATTCCTAGTAAATGACTAATGTTGGAACATCATATGTAACCGAAGGATCCTCTGGCTTACATTAGTGTCACACTGCATCTAATATGTGTGACAACCAACATAAGAGAATCATGTTATGTGATATGCAGTGACCATGAGGAGAAAGCAGAGAGGTTCCTCTGGCACTGAGGACTCAAGAAAAATTTTATATTCTTCTTAGAGGTGATGGGGGTGGACAGTGTCGTGAGCAGCAGACTTCCTACTGATGTTTATTCCAGAGTTCCTCAGAGTCTCCTGTGGGAATAGACCAAGCAAACTCAGTGAACACAATTTTTTTTTTAAAGATTTTATTTATTTATTTGACAGACAGAGACATAGTGAGAGAGGGAACACAAGCAGGGGGAGTGGGAGAGGGAGAAGCAGGCTTCCCGTGGAGCAGGGAGCCCCATGTGGGGCTCGATCCCAGGACCGTGGGATCACAACCTGAGCCAAAGGCAGACGCTTAACGACTGAGCCACCCAGGCGCCCCGTCATTGAACACAATTTTTGCAGGAGAGGCTTCACAAACAGGTGGCTGAACTGGCATTGAATTACAGATTTGGCATTAGATAGTTGCAAGGAATTTTGTCTGGTAAGAGCTTGAGTTATAAGGTTCTAGAGTGTTTGCTGTATAACTTCATGTTATCTCAGAAAATGCAGAATCCTTTCCCATTTTAAGGTCTAATTTTTACCTACTCTTCCTTTATTGCTTTTGGTTTCTGTAATTATATAAATGACTCATGAGTACCTTTTTTTAAAAAAAAGATTTATTTATTTACTTACTTATTTTAGAGAAAGAAAAAACACGAGTTGGGGGAGGGCAGAGGGAGAGGGAGAATCCCAAGCAGATAGCCTCTGAGCCTGGAGCCGATACAGGGTTCGATCCCACCACCCTGAGATCACGACCTGAGCTGAAATCAAGAGTTGGACGCCCAAGCAACTGAGCCACCCAGGAGCCCCTCATGAATACCTTTTTTTTTTTTTTCCTCATGAGTACCTGTTAAAGGAAAAAAATCCTCATGATGGTGTACACATGGGCCAAAAAGTAAATTCCCTCTTCATGTCCCCTTTCCTCATTCCCTCGTACCACTTTATTAGATGCTTGGTGTGTTCTTGCTGTCAGTGAATCTGTATGTGCATCTGTATACACGTGCCCATTTACAAATGTATTTGGACTTACGTATATTTGTGTTTGTAAACACACCTATCATGACATTTTGTGTATCAATGGAATCATACTCCAAAGGACATAATCTGTTGGCTTAAGATGGCATAATTCAAGCATCTAAAGGAATAATAACTGCAAATGATTGGTGACTGTTAACTCTACCAAATTCCATTTGTCTGTAGTCATACTCAACAAAATGAGTTAAACTATGTAAAGCATTTAGTGAGTGCCTCCTAAGTGATATGTGGATCATCCATGCCTGAAATCTTTGCCAGTGCTAATAATAGGACATTATCAGATTGCTAAATTTTCTTTCTTTTTTTTAAAGAAAGATTTTATTTACTTATTTGAGAAAGAGAGAGGGAGCGTGAGGGGGAGAAGCGGACTCCCTGCTGAGCAGAGAGCCCAATATGGGGCTTGATCCCAGGACCCTAAGATCATGACCTGAGCTGAAGGCAGACACTTAGCTGAATGAGCCACCCAGGCGCCCTGAGATTGCATAATTTTCAACAATCCAAATGGTCCAATATTCTTTTGCCTTATTTTGAGATTGGAATCCTTATTTATTTGTTGGCCAGTTGGATTTTTTCTCTTTTGAAATGCCTTTTACATAAAAAAAAAAAGCATTTTTGTCTTACTGATAGAGTTGTTTATATCCACTATATATTGGTCCTTTATTTTGTTTATAAAAAAAATATCTCCCAGCTTGTCACTTTTCGCTTTGTCCATGTTCAATACAGATGTTTTAATTTTTTCCTCTCACAAATTTTATTACTTATTTTCTCCTGTGGATTTTGGCTTGTGACATGAACATTATAGGTTCCTTTGTTTTATGGTTGACTTTAAACAGGAAAAAGTTATTTTCGAGTGTGAAATTAGGTAGGAACCTAAGTTTTCATTTTCAAAGTGGATTTCCATCTCACATAAAATAATCAGAATGTGATAAGATCAACAGTGTTAAGAATTTGCAGCCTCTACTAAGTCTGTTCTCTTCTCTATGTGATCTCTGCAATGATGAGAGATAGATTATCCCATCAGTTTTTCCCCGATAGGGCAGTTCCATTGACAAGCAGGTCTCAGCTCATTGCCTGGTGGCATTTGGGCATAAGCTATATGACCACAGGACAGTACACTGAAGATGTTCCACGCTCCTGAACTGTTTTGATTCACAGAACTTCTGACACCAAATGTGTATATTTTCCTCACACCTACTAATTCTGCAACTCTGTGGACACCACCGAGGTGTCCTACAATTCAACTTAATTCTGACATTCACAACCTGGAGTTAGCATCAGATCCCACAGGCCAAAGGCTTGGTTCCATGAGACTGCCCCCACTTTAGGTGCCAGGCAAAAGTCCCAGGTTGTCACCTATATTTGGGGTGACAAGCTGTAAATTTGAGGGTTCCCACAACCCCCCTTTCAGGTTTGGTAATATGCTAGAACAATTCACAGAACTCAGGAAAGCACTTTCCGTACATTTACTGATTTACTATAAAGGCTACAACTCAGGAATAGCCAAATGGAAGAGATGCACAGGACCAGGTATGGGAGAAGGGGTGAGGAGGTCCTCCCTCAGAGAACCACCCTGCCAGCACCGCAGTGTGTTCACCAACCTGGAAGCTCTCCAAATCTGTTGTTTAGGGGTTTTATGATGGTTTTCTTATATAGGCACAATTGATTAAATCACTGGCTGTTGGTGATTGAATTCAACCTCCAGTCCCTCTTCCTTCCCTGGGTGTTGGGAGTCTTTCAGGTCTCCTATCCTGAAGCTATGCATGGGCCTCCAGCGATTAGTCATCATGTTAGGATGCAGAAGACACTCATCACTCTAGAGATTCCAACAGATTTAGAAACTGTGCCAGGAACCAGGGAAAGACCAAATATATATTTATCACAACATTTTCCTGGCTTGTATTGTTTTTATTTCACTAAATTTTGTCTTTCTTTAGATGGTAATGAGTCTTCTCTTTCTGGTTGATTTCATAATCTGACTTTTGCAACTGGTGTTCTATAGTTTCAGTCTGATGAGTCTAGATATGGATTTTCTGCTTGGTTTTGCTTGCTTGCTAAGTCTGTGTTGTAGGCTGTTTAGTCGGTTCTGAACTTTTCTCAGTCCTGAGATCTTCCCATTGCTTCTCTGATTCTCTATAATTGCTTCCAAAAACTGTGTATAGACCTCACTCTATCCTCATTCTCTATTAACTCTCCTTTATATTTTCTATGTCTTTGTGTGTCTGCTTCATTTTTTGTTTTTTTTTTAAATGAATATTCCAGTTCACTAATTATCTCTTTTAAGTGTATCTATGATGTTAAACTTTTATGAAAGAATAAGAAACATACATTGGTCTCTGCCCCTAGTTTCTGACACAAGGCTCCTAAAATCCTTGTAATTCCCTAAGTGAAAAGAGTACTAGAGGCATCTTTTGTTCTAATATTTGGTCTTGGACATCATCTGCGACAGAGTTCCTAAATCCCTTGGAATTTCCTGAGTGATAGAAGCATCTCTTGTTCTTTTTTTTTTTTTTAAAGGTTTATTTATTTATTTGACAGAGAGAGAAATAGCGAGAGCAGGAACACAAGCAGGGGGAGTGGGCGAGGGAGAAGCAGGCTTCCCACTGAGCAGGGAGCCCGATGCGGGACTCGATCCCAGGACCCTGGGATCATGACCTGAGCCGAAGGCAGACGCTTAACGACTGAGCCACCCAGGCGCCCCAGCATCTCCTGTTCTAATGGCATGACTCTGCGTGGTTCCTGGGGGGGCGTTGGTCACCAGAAAGACCAACCCGTGATCAGAAGTGTGGGATTTTCAGCTGTACCCCCATTATCCAGAGAGGGGAGAGGGGCTGGAAATGGAGTTCATGACTAGCCATGCCTGTGTGATGTAGCCTCCATAAAATTCCGAAGGTGTGTGGTTTGGAGTGCTCCCCGTTTGGTGGACATGGGTGCTGCATGACATGCCCCTCCCCTCGTGCCTCGCCCTGTGTGTCCCTTTGATCTGGATGAGATCTGTGTTCCTGATCATATCCTCTTATAATAAAATAGTATGCAGTAAGTAAACCAAGTTCTCTGAGCCGTTCAAGCAAATTAAACCCCAGGCGGGGGTCATTGGAACCTCCAATCTATAGGCGGTTAGTCAGAAGCGCAGGCGACACCGTGGACTTGGATTGGTATCTGAAGTGGGGGCAGGGGCGGTCTTGTGGGACTGACCCCTTAACCCGTGAAGTGTGACACTATTTCCAGGTAGCTTGTGTCAGAATTGAGTCAAATTTTAGGCCACCCAGCTGGTGTCAGAGAATGGCTTAAAAACATCCAAACCACCACACATACATCAGAATTGGTCTCAGCATTGTAGTTACTATTAGCAGAACAACTTCCTTTATATTCCTTATGAATCAATGAAAGAGAAACACGCACATGACACAGGACCGTGTTGTTACAGGAATCGCTGACACTGGAGGACGTGGCCGTGGACTTCACCTGGGAGGAGTGGCAGCTCCTGGCCCCCGCCCAGAAGGACCTGTACCGGGACGTGATGTTGGAGAACTACAACAACCTGGTGTCAGTGGGTGAGGACGGCTCCCCTGCGTCACTCAGAGGGTGCCCAGTCAGTGGCCCTTCCTTTCTCCGCTGCTTGCACTTCGGAGTCACTGCATTGCTCTGTATGGCAGAGTCTCAGTGCCTCCTTGGGCACATGATAAAAGGGTCTGATTTACTACGAGCTGCTCTTACCACCAACACAAATGGTGCCAAACACGGGGGGGTTTTCTACACCAACAACCGGTTCTCCAACTCTCCAGTACCAGCTAGGTGTCCGGCCGTTCATTTCAGTTCTGCCACGACCCAGAGTTAGCAGCACACTCCACAGGTTTAAGGGCTTAGTTCCACAGGACTCCCCTCACTTCAGATGCCAATTGCCAGTATTGGTCCCCACTACCCAGGGTACCCACGCTCCAGTCCATCTGTAAAGCGGGCATTCCCACAACCCCCTTCAGGTCGGCAAGTTGCTGGAAACAGCTCACAGAGCTGCGGAAAGCACTTTACTTAAGATTACCATTTTATTATAAAGGATAAAACTCGGGAACAGCCAAAAAAGGAAGAGATGTATAAGGCATGGTATGGAGGGAGGGGTGTGGACTTCCCATGACCTCTCTAGGTATGCCACCCTCCCAGCCCTTCAGGTGTGTTCACCAACCTGGAAACTCCCAGCCTGGTGGTTTAGGACTTTTTATGGAGGTTTCATTATGTAGGCATGATTGCTTAAATCATGATTAACTCAAGTCTCCAGTGGTAGGGGCAGGGGATTGGAGCTGAAGGTTCCAACCTTCTCATCCCACCAGGGTCTTTCTGGCAACCGGCCCCCATGCTAAAACTCTATAGGGGCCCGTCCCACCAGTCATTAGTTCACAAAAAGACTCATCACTCTAGAGAGTTCAGGGGTGTTAGAAGTTCTTGTGTCAGGAACTGGAACTTAGACAAAATACTCTAACGGAAGATGCTCCTATCATGGCTGTCACTTAGGAAATTACAAGGGCCTTAGGAGCTCTGTGCCAGGAATGGGGTACAAAGACCAAATATATATCATTATATCATGGTATCACATATGCCCTCTCCTGAGAGAGAAGCCTCAGCTTTGCAGATGTGAAAACTGTCTCAGTCCCTCAAATGTAGCATTCTCCCATCTTGACAGACCCCAGCCCGATTCGGTGAGTCTAAGTGTTCTGTCTTTCCCACGAGTAGGGTATCAAGCCAGCAAACCAGATGCACTCTCCAAGCTGGAACGAGGGGAGGAACCGTGGGCGAAACAGGAAGAAGTCCCCAGTGGAACCCAGCCAGGTGAGTGAGAACCTGCCAGCCGGGTAACTGTGGAAGTCACCCTCGGTCAGCGAGAGAAGGCTAGCAGGGTGTTTGAGAACAGAAGCTGTGCTCTGTGTATCTCTCTCCCATAGCAGAACTTTTCCTTTAGGTCTTTAGAGGGAAGTGGAACTCTTTTTTCTCTTCTGATGTCTGATCCTTGCTTTTTTCATTTTACATCTTGATTTTTGTTGGTTTGCCTAGTTTTCTTCCACGGATTCTGTTAGCTTACCCCTTCTTTGTACCCTGTCACAGTGTGTGTCCCTGTTCCTTCTGCCTCCCTGGCTATGAAATCCACACCCCACCCCCCCCGGGCCTTACTCTAAAGAGAGACGTGTGAATTCACACTGTTTCTGACTACTGTACCTTCCCGCCCGGCTCCTTGGGAAATGCCAGTTTCCCTCCTGACAGCCAACTCCGCCCTGTATGTTATGCCATCACAAGAACCTGGTCTCTTACGGGGTATTAATCTGCTTTCTAGCTTTTCCCTCCACTCGAGATTCTTCAGTTCTTTTCCATTTTCTCTGCTGAATTCCTAATACTTGAGGTTTTTCTTCTGGCTCATGAATTAAGCTCTTTCTGTTGTCTAGAAGAGACTCCAAATTGGTATCTCCCTTCATACTGTATAGTGTTGTAGATATTCTACCTGCCTAAGATTTCTGAGTCCCTGCATGAGGAACAGGAATCCTCTTCCCTCCACAAAAAATCCCCTTCCGTCTCATCTGAACATTAGCTTCTCTTTTACTACTGCACACCTTACCCCGTCCACATTGCTGTTAGCTATGGCATTCTTGTCTTAAAGGTCTCCGCTGTTTCTGTTGACTGTTTCACTAGAAAAGATGGTTTTACATCCTACATCAGTTCTAGCCAAAATCAGCTTATGCCTGCCTTGATGGCTTCCTTTGTACGGTTGATATTTCTGATTTTCCTTTGGTTCATCCGAGGTCTTCCCATTGTATTCATTTGTCGAAATCATTTATTTTCCCCATTTTTAAAAAGCGGCTTTGAGATAATTCACATAACCCACAATTTGCCAACTTAACACATACAATTTAGTGCTTTGTAGTACATTGACAGGGTTATGTAACCATCCCCATAAGCAATTTCGGAAGATTTTCATCACTTTAAATAAAGAAACATTTCCAGGGTGCCTGGCTGGCTTATTCAGTACAGCATGTGACTCTTGATCTGGGGGTTGTAGAAATTACTTAAAAATAAAATCTTTTAAAAAATAAAATAAAGTAAAAAATAAAAAGAAACGTTTCTTCCCAGGCCCCCAGCTCTGGGCAGCCACTGATCTACTTTCTACCTCTAGAGATTTGACTGTTCTGGATATTTTATTTTATTATTTATTATTTATTTTTTTATTTTTTTAAAGATTTTATTTATTTATTTGACAGAGAGAGACACAGTGAGAGAGGAACACAAGCAGGGGGAGTGGAGGGGGGAGAGGCAGGCTTCCCGCCGAGCGGGGAGCCCGATGCGGGGCTTGATCCCAGAACGCTAGGATCATGACCTGAGCCGAAGGCAGGCGCTTAACGACTGAGCCACCCAGGCGCCCCTGTTCTGGATATTTTATATAATCATGAAATATTTGGCCTTTAGTGTCTGGCTTCTTGCATTTAGCCTAAAGTTCCTGAAGTTCTTCCATGCTTTAACATGCATCAGTACTTCATTCCTTTTTATTGCCAAATAATACTCCCACTGTATGGATATACCACATTTTATTTATTCATTCATCTGCTGATGGACATTGGTTTTTTCCACTTTTTGGCTTTTATGAATTATGCTATGAACATTCATTTTTCTTAGGTATATACCAAGGAGTGGAATTCTTGGGTCATATTGGACCCCCAGGAAGGGTCCAGATATGATGCTTCCAGACTCATGGCCAGCATTACCTCCTCCCAGCCATGGTGTGTGACAATATGCAAAGAGTATTGCCAACCAGGGGAGCTCACTTGAGCCTTTGGTGTCCAGTGTTTTTACTGGGGCTCAATCACACATTGCCCACATGGCTGAACTTTAGTTTTTAGCCCCACCAGAAATCAGGCTAATTCCTATAGTCTCCAGTTCCTCTGAGGGTCTGGAGGTTGGAACTGATATGGCATGGCCCAAAGTCTCCTTCATAAATCACATTGTTAGAATATCCAGTGGCCAAAGCCCCCAGGCAAACAGAGGCACTCCTATCAGGTAGGACATTCTGAGGGCCTAGAGATCACTTCCAATAGAGCCAGTGGCAAGGGCCAGACCTCTCTTTGGGTGAAGTTAAATCTTAACTGAAGGTAGCTATGAAAATGAACAATAAAGGGATTTACTTAGAAATAAAGAGGAAATAGAGCTTATGGTTGTACAATCAGAATTGAATGACAGCATGATATATACAAAGGACATCTGCATTTTGAATTAGAAAGATGCCACCATGAATTAGGAATGAAGGCATGAAATAGGAAACTGCAAGACATGGTGTTGATTGTTCAGAATTTGACATGCCTCTACCTACCCATTGGCTCAAGCCATATAGTTAGCAGGGAAATCCTTGATTCCTGACTGTCATTAACCACTCTCCATTGAACTCATCATTTAACTGTCTTTTCTTTATACAGATATATCCTGATTCCCTCCACTTTCCAGTCTCCATTGCTCCTTCAATCACATTTCACAATATCCAACTCCCTTCTTTTTTCTTTTCTTTGTCGTTTGGTTCCCCCTAACTAGGTTTACGATCAGTGAAAGTGAGGCCTATTTTATATATTCCAAACACCAGCACAGTGCCTTGTACACAGGAGCCATTCAGTAAACAGTTTGGAGTGAACAAATGCAACCCTCATAGTTCTGGATAGTAGTCTCTTCTACCTTTATGATCTGGTGCCTTTCCAAGTTCTGTGGAATGGTGTTCCTCCAACCCTGTCGTTTGCTGCCAACAATGACTTGCTTGTGTTTTACTATTCCTGCATGTTTTGTGAGTTCCTAGTTAGAGAGCAGCAAATCTACATACATTGTCAACTGTTTAACCTTATTTATACTTACTGCTTTTTCATTTTGGTTTGTTTATATTACTGTGTTTTTACCAATGTATAAGAGATAAGGAACATTTATATATGGCATTTCTTTTATACTGTTATAGGGTTGTCACTAAAATGCCATTTTTTTAAGGAACACTAAAGAATTTTTTAAAGTTTTATTCAGAACAAGATTATGAAAGGATTCATTGTTCTCTTTTCTAGAACCTAGCAAAGTTGATAATCACCTGCAAGGTCACTGGGAAAATCCAAGAATGCTGAAAGGTATGGAACAAAACCACAAACACAATGCATTTGGAAATACTGTTCCTCAAAGCAAAAGTCATTTTCCTTCCAGGCAAAATCATATGCTTGAGTTCTATATAAAAACTTTGAAGTCAAATTTAAGTTTAGTCAACCAGAGCAAAAGCTGTGAAATTAAAAACTCTACTAAATTCAATAGAGATGAGAAATTATTTCTGCATGATAAGCATGAAGATTTTAATTCTGCTGTTAAACTCCCTATAAGCGCAAAACCTATTAGCAATAAGTCCCAAGTCATTAAGCATCAGAGAACTCATGAAATAGAGAAACCCCATGTATGCAGTGAATGTGGAAAAGCCTTCATTAAGAAGTCCCAGCTCACAGATCATCACAGAGTTCATACAGGAGAGAAACCTTATGGATGCAATATTTGTGCGAAAGTATTCTCCAGAAAGTCCAGGCTCAATGAACATCAGAGAATTCATAAAAGAGAGAAATCCTTTCTATGCAATGATTGTGGAAAAGTCTTCACCATGAAGAGCCGTCTAATTGAACACCAGCGAACTCACACTGGAGAGAAACCCTATGTATGTAACGAATGTGGGAAAGGTTTCCCAGGGAAGCGTAATCTCATTGTACATCAGCGAAATCATACTGGAGAGAAATGCTATGTATGCAGTGAATGTGGAAAGGGCTTCACTGGGAAGAGCATGCTCATCATACACCAGCGAACTCATACAGGAGAGAAACCCTACATCTGCAGTGAATGTGGGAAAGGCTTCACCACGAAGCACTATGTCATCATTCATCAACGAAATCACACAGGAGAGAAACCCTTTATATGCAATGAATGTGGGAAAGGTTTCACGATGAAGAGTCGACTGATTGAACATCAGCGAACTCACACAGGTGAGAAACCCTATGTATGCGATGAATGTGGAAAAGGCTTTCCCAGGAAGAGTAATCTCATTGTACATCGGAGAAATCATACAGTAGAGAAATCCTATGTATGCAGTGAATGTGGAAAAGGTTTCACCGTGAAGAGCATGCTCATCATACACCAACGAACTCATACTGGAGAGAAACCCTACATCTGCAGTGAATGTGGGAAAGGCTTCCCCTTGAAGAGTCGACTGGTCGTACATCAACGAACACATACTGGAGAGAAACCTTACAGATGCAGTGAATGTGGGAAAGGTTTCATTGTGAATAGTGGACTGATGTTACATCAGCGAACTCACACTGGAGAGAAACCCTATATATGCAATAAATGTGGAAAAGGTTTTGCCTTTAAGAGCAATCTTGTGGTACATCAGCGAACTCATACTGGAGAGAAACCCTTTACGTGCAGTGAATGTGGAAAAGGCTTCACCATGAAACGCTATCTCATTGTACATCAACAAATCCATACAGGAGAGAAATCATACATATGCAGCGAATGTGGTAAAGGCTTTGCTATGGAAACTGAGCTCATTTTACATCAGCAAATTCATACTGGAGAGAAACCTTATGCATGCAATGAATGTGGTAAAGGCTTCACTGTGAAAAGCCGACTAATCGTTCATCAGCGAACTCATACAGGAGAGAAACCTTTTATATGCAGTGAATGTGGAAAAGGCTTCTCCTCAAAGAGAAATCTTATTGTACATCAGAGAACTCATAATGGAAACAAACCTCAATGACACCATGAATAGCGTCACACCCTCAGGAGGAAAATATGCCTTGTGCAACATCAGAGATTTCACACAGAATTGACTTCCTTTATTTGTACTGACTGTGGAAAATCCCATTCATTACCTACCGGGGAATTATGCAGCAAACTATGTATACAGTTAATGGGAGAAAGCCTTCAATACCAAGTCAGCACCCATTGTACATCAAAGAATTCATAGAATAGAAAGACTATGGATTTAATAACTGCGGGCCACCTTTCTCTCATTTGTCAAGCCTTGTTAATACACACAAGAAATGTGTAAGTCAAGGTACACAAGCCTTTGCAGAGAATCTGAACTCATTACATACAAGTGAACTCATTCAGGGGACAAACCATGATACTTCAGTGAACTCCTTAAACATCAGTGTGCTCCCAGCATACCTGAATATAGTCAGTATAGATTAATTAGCCTGTTGCTAGATTTTCACCCTTGGGGAATACTGAGTTTGCATAGGAGTGAAGTTTAGTGAATGCAGAGAATGTGCTAGTGCCTTCAGTGATCAATTACCTCACGTTGTATGTCAAAACAGGAAACAAAACTGACATATTCAATGCAGAAAAGTCCTGAGGAAACATTTCTAGGTAATTACATATCTGAAAAGTATATATTAAGACGAATCTTATGAATGGAGAGAGTAGGAAAGCCTCCTATGGGAATAAAGACCCTGTCTCATCAGTGATCATAATAGATCCCACCAGCGAGCTTACACATAGTGGCAACATGATGATTGTGCAAAAGCCTTTGCCTGGAAGTCAAACCTTAATAGTTGTGTGATATTCACGTTAAAGGAAAATGGCAGTGAATATGAATTTTAGTGATATTTCTGCCTCATCATTTCTCATGAATTCATACAGACATAAAACTCATGAACACACTAAATGTGGAGTAACTAGGAAATTATCAGAAATTTTGAAGGAGGGCGCCTGGGTGGCTCATTTGGTTAAGCGACTGCCTTTGGCTCAGGTCATGATCCTGGAGTCCGAGGATCGGGTCCTGCATCGGGCTCCCTGTTCGGCGGGGAGTCTGCTTCTCCCTCTGATCCTTCCCCCTTCATGCTCTCTCTCTCTCAAATAAAATCTTTAAAAAAAATTTTTTTTGAAGGAAAGAAGCCTCATGAAAACAATGCATACCTGAGTTTTTCATCACAAGTCTATACTTCTACATCTGATGTCCATTTTGGGGCAGGATACCTTGAACCATATTCTCAGTGATGCCATCGTTTTAAAGTAGGCTATTCTCAACACTGATTAAATTTTAATGTACACAATGCAGGGGTGTTCTGTACCCAACTGTATCATAGGATTACCTCTTGCATTTCTTGGGTTCTAAAGTCATCTCTTTCAGGCAAAAGAAAAAGGAATATATTTTTAAATGTAATTTAACATATTAGGGTGTATTTATTCAAGTTTGTAAGTAGTTTACAAAAATAATCTTATATATGATTTTTTCTAAGTTTTTTGAAATAATTTTAGATTCACAAAAAATTATAAAGTATACAATGTTCCTGAGTACACGTACTCAGCTTTTTCAGTGACATTATCTTACATAACCATAATACATAATCAAAACCAATAAAATGACATTGGTACAATGCTGTTAAGTCAACTGTAGACCTTATTTGGTTTTCACTAGTGTTTGCATGCATTAATTTATGTGATGTTTTGTTTTGTTTTTTAGTGTAGAGTTCTAAGAAACTTAATCACATACATAGATTCCTGTAAATCCCACCACAATCAGGATACAGAATTGTTGTGCCAACACAAAGAAACATCCATGTACTGCCCCTTTATAGTCACACTCTCCCCACAACCCTGACCCATCGCGACCACTGACCAGTACTCCATCACTCTGATTTTGTCATTTCAAGGGTGCTGTTAAAATGGAATGATACAGTGTGACCTTTGGGATAGGCTTTATTTCATGCAGCAAATTGCCCTTAAGATTCATCCAATTTGTTGGGCATATAAGTAGTTTTACTTTTTGTTACTGAGTGGTATTCTTTTGTTATGAACGTATCATGGCTTATCTGTTCAATGTTGGTGGACTTTGGGTTGTTTCTAGTGTTTCACTGTTAAGAATAAAGATGCTATGAATCCAGTTTTGTGTGAACATAAGTTGACATTTCTCTGGGATAAATACCCATGTTAAGTTTGTGTTTTTAACTTTATAAGAAACTGCCAAACTTTTCCATAGTAGCCATACTAATTTACATTCCCACCTTCAGTGTGTCGATGCTCCAGTTGTATCTTGTCTAGCACTTGGCACAGTCATATTTGATCCTAGACTTCCCATCAGGTGTGTGCAGCATATTATGGTCATCTTAACTGATCTTTCCCGAACCTCTACATACACTGAGAACTGTATCAGGTAAAGTTGTCATTTTTGCTTTCAGTCATCAAACATAATTATAAAAACTCAAAGGGGAATAGCTTATTACATCTGATGATGTATTTACTTTTTCATTCCATTTTCTTCATTCCCGATGTTTCATGTTTCTTTCTGTCCTTTCCTTTTTGTTAGAACTTCCTTTATCAATTCTTTTTGAGCAGGTCTGCTGGCAAAAAATCTTAGTTTTCGGACACCTGGATGGCTCAGTTGGTTAAGCGACTGCCTTCGGCTCAGGTCATGATCCCAGGGTCCTGGGATCGAGTCCCGCATCGGGCTCCCTGCTCGGCAGGGAGCCTGCTTCTCCCTCTGACCCTCCCCCCTCTCATGTGCTCTCTGTCTCTCTCATTCTCTCTGTCTCAAATAAATAAATAAAATCTTTAAAAATATATATATATTTTTTGAGCATTTACACTGTGTCAGGCACCGTTGTAGTCACTGGGGACACATCAGTGAACAAAACAGGCAAAGTCATGGCCTTTATGGAGCATAAGGTTTAGTGAAGGTGACTGAGTAAAATAAATACATAATAGAAATGTCAGTTGTTAAGTGCTATGGAGAAATATGAAGCCAAGTACATAGGTTGTAATGGAGGAGCTATTTTGTTTTTAAAGATTTTTATTTATCTGACAGAGAGAAAGCACAAGTAGGGGGAGCAGTAGGCAGAGGGAGAAGCAGGCTCCCCGCTGAGCAAGGAGCCCGATATGGGACTCGATCCCAGGACCTTGGGATCATGACCTGCGCCAAAGGCAGATGCTTAACCAACTGAGCCACCCAGGCAGCCCTGGAGGAGCTATTTTAGTATGGGTTTTCAAGGAAGGCTGTTCTGAGCAGATGTAATTTGAACTAAGACCTAAGCATACTGAGGGTAACCAGCAAGCATAATACTTATAAGCTGGGAACACTCCAGATCTGTTTCCAAGTGTTTTCTCTGGGCTTCCTGCCTCAGTATTCTCTGAGAAGTTTGTAAAAGATGTGAATTCTTAAGTCAAACCCCAGACCTCCTAAACCAGAACCTCTAGTATTGGGCCCAAGACCCTGTATTTATAAAATGATTTTTGTGATCTATACTTAAATTTTAACATCTCTGCCCTAAATCCTGGATTAGTGCACCTGTTACCACCACACACTGTAACAGGATGGATTCCGGGTAGAAGCTCTCTACAGTACAGAATCAGGTATGAGTGTTCTACCAACCAGGCCCTCAGGTCCCCTCCACTTCTTATCATTTTGTGGATCTACACATCCTGCCATGGCAAGGTCAGATCAGCTCATTCCTGAAACCAATCAGGCAGGGTCCCAGAATGGACTGCCCAGGCTGCCCTGAGCAATCTGGACCAAACGCCGAATTCACTTTTCAGAGCTTGACATCCCGAGTGAATGGGGTTGCCCATTTAATTCCTGAAGAGAATAAAATACTCTTACTATTAAAAAATTATGCAAACAATAAATTCTTAATGTATAGAAATTAGAAAACAGGGGGTGGTACCTGGCTGGCTCAGTTGGTAAAGCGTGCAACTTTTGATCTCAGGGTCATGAGTTCAAGCCCCATGATGGGCATGGAGCCTACTAAAAATTTTGAAGAAATATAAAAAAATTAGAAAACATATATAAACCATTTAAGAAATCTTATATCACCCATAATTGTACCTGAGAGTCTAGCATTGTTAACAATATATTCTTCCCAAATTTTCAAACATGTAAGTAAATATGAGGCTAGTTTTTAAATATTTACAATGTTATGAACATCTATATCATATTCTAAAACTTCTAAAATTGACATTTTTGTAATACTAAAGTAATACAGAATTATGACACAAAGATATAGAAACAATGGAGAATTACAAAAATTGAGAATGTGAAAACTTCTGACATTCACTACCCATAAGTACAAACCCTGAAATAATCCAAACTAAATGTTTACTTAACCAATCACAAATAAACAGGCAAATGTTTATGATTTGTTTCCATAATGGGGGTCATAAAATTTATATTATCCTGCAGATGTATTTTTTTCTTCTTGAGAATACAGTTATCTTTCCTTATTTATACTGACAGTTGTAGTATATTCTTTTCAGTTGCTATGTACTGTTTCGGTGAGTGGATATTCCATAATTTACCCAAGTAATTGTCTCTCATTGTACATTTAGATTTTTTTTCCTTTTTAATTGCAAAAGCCAATGTGGTTAATATTAGGAAAAGTTTTTTTTAAAACATTTTATTTATTTATTTGACAGAGAGAGACACAGCGAGAGAGGGAACATAAGCAGGGGGAGTGGGAGAGGGAGAGCAGGCTTCCCGCGGAGCAGGGAGCCCGTTGCGGGGCTTGATCCCAGGACCCTGGGATTATGACCTGAGCCGAAGGCAGACGCTTAACGACTGAGCCTCCCAGGCGCTCTAGGAAAAGTTTTTACTAAGTAAACTGTTGCAATTAGGATTTCTAGGTCAGGGGCGCCTGGATGGCTCAGTAGGTTAAGCTGGTTAAGCGCCTGCCTTCGGCTGGGGTCATGATCCCAGAGTCCTGGAATAGAGCCCCGCATCGGGCTCCCTGCTCCGCGGGAGGCCTGCTTCTCCCTCTCCCAACCCCCCTGCTTGTGTTCCCTCTCTCGCTGTGTCTCTGTCAAATAAATAAATAAAATCTTAAAAAAAAAAAAAAAAAGAATTTCTAGGTCAAAGAGAATGAAAAATTTAAATTGACTGAGGTTGCCTTCTAAAAAGGGAGTAGCTACTTAAATCCTCTAAGATTAAACCTCCTCCCACGCCTAAATAATAATAAAATTTTAAAGTGTGCTCTCTCTTAAAAATTTGGGAACTATGCAAAGTATAATAAATTATCTCGTGGGGCGCCTGGGTGACTCAGTTGGTTGAGCGACTGCCTTCGGCTCAGGTCGTGATCCTGGAGTCCCTGGATCGAGTCCCTGGATCGAGTCCCGCATCGGGCTCCCTGCTCAGCGGGGAGCCTGCTTCTCCCTCTGACCCTCCCCCCTCTCATGTGCTCTCTCTCATTCTCTCTCTTTCAAATAAATAAATAAAATCTTTAAAAAAAAATAAAATAAATTATCTCGTAATTTCATATTCTCCAAAATCACAGGGTCATCTTAATTTATTTTTGGAAGGAAAACATACATTCCACCTTCACTCCATCCCTTCTCCACTGGAGATAGTAGCTGTGTACCCACTCCCACGGGGGGATTAGCATTTCTTTACGAAGCTCCACCCTATTGGCTTCACCCCTTCTATGGCGGTCTTCCTTCTATTTTATTTTATTTTTTTTTATTTATTTATTTGACAGAGAGAATGAGAGAGAGAGCACATGAGAGGGGGGAGGGTCAGAGGGAGAAGCAGGCTCCCCGCCGAGCAGGGAGCCCGATGCGGGACTCGATCCCAGGACTCCAGGATCATGACCTGAGCCGAAGGCAGTCGCTCAACCGACTGAGCCACCCAGGCGCCCCTTCTTTCTTTTTTTTTTTAATAAAGATTTTATTTATTTATTTGAGAGAGAATGAGATAGAGAGAGAGCATGAGAGGGGGGAGGGTCAGAGGGAGAAGCAGGCTCCCCGCCGAGCAGGGAGCCCGACGCGGGACTCGATCCCGGGACTCCAGGATCACGACCCGAGCCGAAGGCAGTCGCTCAACCAACTGAGCCACCCAGGCGCCCTGGCGGTCTTCCTTCTAAACGACAGGGGCCTTACCCACTCCACACACAGCCACCCTCTCCCTAAACCTAAGGCGTTAGGCGACCACTGCTCCTGTCCACTCTGTGACGGCTGCCTCTGCAGCGACGTCTCCGCTTCTTCTTTCCCCAAGCCGGCCTTGGCCTGAGCCCATCCCAGCCGTACGGACACCTGCCCTCCTCTAAGATGGCCGCGCCCACGGTGCTCCAGCCTGACGTCTGCGCTCGGCAGGGCACAGAGGGCGTCGCCACCTCTCTTCCCTCGGCGGATAAATGTGCTCGGTGGCCTTAGGTAGACACCGACCGCTGAAGTCCCGCCCAGGTGGCACGGCTTTGTTGACCACCCCTCGCAACACTGAGGTGGCCAGTACCGGGTCCGACCTCCCCACACAGCCAGGACGGCCCCTCCCATCAGAACGGCCGGGGTGGGCGTGGCCGTCGGGTCGTAGAGCGGAGCCCGCCGCCCGAGCTCCGAAATCCCGTAACGCTCCCAGGTCCTCGCGGGAGTCGCTGGCCGGGCGGTTCCGAGTCGCTAGGTACCGCGAGGAGGGGCGCTCCGAGAGAAGTGGCTCCGGAAATGGGTGGCTTTGCGTCGCTGCCAGCGGCGTCTGCAGAGGTTCGGGTTCGGGTGAGTCGGGTTCTCGGTTTAGCTCTCGGCCTGTGGGGCCCGTGAAACGGGAGCCTGTGTGAGGAACCGCAGTTGGGATTTTATTCGGATTCAGTCCCTGAGGAATCTGAGGGGAGGGGGGGCCCTGGGAGTCAGTGATTTCGAGTCTGAAGAAATCTCGACCGAGAGGCCGACTCTGTTAGGGGGTGAGGTCCACGTGGGTCGCTCGGCCTGTGGGACCCGGCGGTTGAGAAGTGGGGTGGAAGGTATACCCGTGAGCGCCCGTCTCGTCCGGCTTCCGTGGGTTGGAGACGTCCCTGTTGGTTGTTGGGGCTTGTTTGTGGGTTAGTGTGGCGTTAATAGAGGGCTCACTCCCGGAGACGCCTGGTGGGTGCTGTCAGTGTGCGAGGAGGTCCAGGGCCCCTAGAAAATCGGGAGGTTCAGGCTCAAACCTTGAATGCCGGGAACAGACCTAAAGGCTGCATTTAATCCAGTTTTTTTTTTTTTAAAGATTTATTTATTTATTTGACAGAGAGAGACACAGCGAGAGAGGGAACGCAAGCAGGGGGAGTGGGAGAGGGAGAAGCAGGCCTCCTGCTGAGCAGGGAGCCCGACGCGGGGCTCGATCCCAGGACCCCGGGACCATGACCCGAGCCGAAGGCAGGCGCTTGCATTTAATCCAATTAGTCCAAACGCAGTTCGCTCCTTCCAGTCCGTCCTCACGGACCGTACTGAAAACTTTGTCTCCCAGCATCACCACTCTTCTCACTGTCCCCACAAAATTAAGTGTGTTCGGAGTGAGCTGGTGATATATTGACTATTAAAGATGTAGCTTTTGTTTTGATTGCCTTCAAGTTTACTATACTTTTGGATATTTCCTTTTAGGGTCATTATAAGTGAATGCATCTCCTTTACTCTACATTCTGTTCCATAGTGAGAACCTTTTTTTCCCCCCCCACGTTTAGGATCATCTGTATAAACATAAGGAAAAATTAATTGTGTCATGTAATTTCTCATCCTCAACGTATTTGCATAGGAGATGATATTTATACATTTTTAATCATTGCAATAAATACCAATACAGGTTGGTGAACCAGACCATGGTGTCTGAGTCAAACATATTAATTTAAGTAATAATAAAATATTCAATTATAATTTTAGTTTTACTGAGGTTTAATTTACATACCATAAAAATTCACCAGGTGTAAGTATTTACATGTCAGTGATTTTTTAAAAAGATTTTATTTATTTATTTATTTATTTATTTATTTATTTATTTATTTATTTGTGTGAGAGAGAGCACAATCCAGGAGCTGCAGGCAGAGGGAGAAGCAGGCTCCCCGCTGAGCAGGGAGCCCGATGCGGGGCTTGATCCCAGGACCCTGGGATCATGATCTGAGCCAAAGGCAGATGTTTAACCTACTGAGCCACTCAGGCATCCCTACATTTCAGTGATTTTTTTTTTTTTTAAGATTTTATTTATTTCTTTGACAGAGAGAGACACAGCGAGAGAGGGAACACAAGCAGGGGGAGTGGGAGAGGGAGAAGCAGGCTTCCCGCCAAGCAGGGAGCCCGATGGGGGGCTCGATCCCAGGACCCTGGGATCATGACCTGAGCTGAAGGCAGACGCTTAACGACTGAGCCACCCAGGCGCCCCCATTTCAGTGATTTTTAACTGAGTTTCTAGAATTGTGCAACCATGAGTACAATCCAGTTTCAAGACAATCCAAGTTTAAAAGATTTCCATCACCTGGAAAAGTTTTCTTGGCCCTCTGTGCACTCAGTGTCCACTCCTACCCCCAGCCACACACCACCCTGATTATCTTCTAGAATCTATTAATTTGCAGTTTCTAGGCATTTCATATAAACAGAATCATATATATAGTCTTTTGTTGTTGCCTTTTTTCATTAGCATTATATTTTGGGCTACATTATAATTATCACTAGGTTTTCCCCTTTTTTCCAAGTGATTTATCGAGGTAAAATTGACACACAATAAGCTACAGATATTTAAATCAATCATACCAATTGGTAAATTTGACATATGTACTCATGAAAGTGTTACCACCATGAAAATCATGAACATACCCCTCACCACTGAATTTTCTTTGTGCCCGTTTTTAATCCATCCCTCTCATATTTCCCCTTCCCTCCCCAAGCAACCACTGTCCTGTAGGTTAGTTTATGTATTTAAGTTTTATTGAAATGGACTCTCAGAGGATATACTCGTTTTTATTACAATTTGATTCAGCATTAGTATTTCAAGATAACATTCTTGTGTGTATCAGTAGTTCCTTTTTCTCCTTTTTGTTGCTTTGTATTCCATGTGGGCTTATCAGTTCATTCTGTAGAGTTTATTAATTCACCTGTTAACAGGCAATTGTTTTTCCAATTTTTAGCTCTTACAAATAAAGCTCTCAAAAAAAACCCCACTCATGTTCAAGTCTATATTTATGTTTATGTTTTTCTTTCTCTTGGGTAAATCTCTAGGAGTTGAATGGCTAAATCATATGGTAGGTGTTATGTTTAACTTCTTTAGAAACTGCTGAACTGTTTCCCCAGGTGGCTGCACTCTGTAGTCACAAGAGAAGCGGATAATTGTTCTGTGTCTCCATGTTTTTGCCAACACTTTGTATTGTCATTCTTTTTGATTTTAGGTATTCTAATGGGTGTGGAGCAGTACCTTGTGGTTTTAATTTGTATTTACCTAATTATGGCTAATGATGTTAAATATCTTGTCATGTGCTTATTTGCCATCCATATATCTTCCTTGGTGAAGTAATTGTCCAAGTCTTTTATGCTTTTCTGTTGTCTTTTCTTGTTAATTTTTGAGAATTCATTATACATTCTGGATACAAGACTTTCCTTTACCAGTTATATGCTTTGCAAAGATTTTCTCCCAGTCTTTGGCTTGCCTTTCAACATTCTCTTAACGATGTGTTTTGAAGAGCAGAAGGATTTAGTTTTTATGAAGTACAGGACATGAACTTTTCTTTTTTTTTAGATTTTATTTATTTATTTGAGAGAGAGAATGAGATAGAGAGAGCATGAGAGTGGGGAGGGTCAGAGGGAGAAGCAGACTCCCTGCCGAGCAGGGAGCCTGATGTGGGACTCGATCCCAGGACTCCAGGATCATGACCTGAGCCAAAGGCAGTCGCTTAACCAACTGAGCCACCCAGGTGCCCCCATTTCTTCTATTTTAAAAATATTCCCAAAAAATTTAAAAAATAAAAATAAAAATAAAAAATGTCTATTCTGACACGAATACTACCCTGTCTTGATTACTCGGTTTTGATAAAAATTCTTATAATCAGGTAGTGCAAACTCACCAACCCTGTTCTTTTTTTTTTCTCTTAAGATTTTATTTATATATTTATTTTAGAGAGCAGGGGGAGGGGCAAAAGGAGAGGAAGAGAGAATATCTCAGGCTGACTCCAAGCTGAGTGTGGAACGAGACACCGGGTTCAATCCCAGGACCCCGAGTTCACGACCTGAGCCGAAACCCAAGAGTTGGATGGTCAACCAACTGAGCCACTCATGCACCCCAGCCTTGTTCTTTTTTACAGTTGTTTTAGTTTTTCTAGACCTTTTGCATTTCTATGTGAATTTAAGAATCAGGTTGTCAGTTTATACAGAAAAGCCTCCTGGAATTATGATTGAGATTTGTGACTCTAGACCAAATCTGGAGAATGGTCTATTTGGTTCATTTCAAAAAATGGTCCATTTTCTGACATGGACAAAGTGTATCTTTCCATTTATTTAAGTCTTAAAAAATTTCTGTGATACAGTTTTCAAAAGGTGTTTTAAATTTTTGGTAATCTTTTTCCATAAGTATTTCACATTTTTAAAGTCATTTTCACCTTTTCTTTTATCATCATTTTATTTACTTATTTATTTTTTTGTTTCAAGTTTTTATTTAAAATCTGGTTAGTTAACATATAGTGTAATATTGGTTGCAGGAGTAGAATTTAGTGATTCATCACTTATATAATATATTAACATCTAGTGCTAATCACAAGTGCCCTCAATACCAGTCATTCATTGAGCCCATCCCCCACTTACCCCCTTCCATCAACCTTCAGTTTGTTCTCTATAGTTCTGTTTTGTTTTGTTTTTAAGATTTTATTTATTTGTTTTGACAGCGAGAGAGCGAACACAAGCAGGGGGAGTGGGAGAAGGAGAAGCAGGCTTCCCGCCGAGCAGGGAGCCCAATGTCGGGCCCGATCCCAGGACCCTGGGATCATGACCTGAGCCAAAGGCAGACGCTTAACGACTGAGCCACCCAGGCACCCCTATTCTCTATAGTTAAAAGAGTCTCTTAGGGTTTGCCTCCCTCTCTTCCCCTCCCTTCTCCTGTGTTCATCTGTTTTGTTTCTTAAATTACACATGAGTGAAACCATACAGTATTTGTCTTCCTCTGACTTGTTTCAGTTAGCATAATATACTCTAGCTCCATCCACATCATTGCAAAAAGCAGGATTTCATTCTTTTTGATGGCTGAGTAATACTCCACACCACATCTTTATCCATTCATCAGTCGATGGACATTTGGGCTCTTTCCATAATTTGGCTATTGTTGATAACACTGCTGTTAATATTGGGGTGCATGTGTCCCTTGAATCAGTATTTTTGTATCCTTTGGGTAAATACCTAATAGTGCAATTGCTGGGTTGTAGGGTGGTTCTATTTTTGATTTTTTGAGGAACCTCCAAACTGTTCTCCAGAGTGGCTGCACCAATTTGCATTCCCACGAACAGTGTAAGAGAGTTCCCCTTTCTCCGCCTCCTTGCCAAAATGTGTTGTTTCCTGTGTTGTTAATTTTAGCCATTCTGACGGGTATGAGGTAATATGTCATTGTAGTTTGTTTTTTTTTTTTTAAAGATTTATTTATTTATTTGAGAGAGCGAGAATGAGAGAGAGAGAGAGTACATGAGAGGGGGGAGGGTCAGAGGGAGAAGCAGACTCGCTGCTGAGCAGGGAGCCCGATGCGGGACTCGATCCCGGGACTCCAGGATCATGAC